GCTTTAATTTCATTTAATTCTACATACTATATACAAAATATTGTTTGTAAACATTGTCATTCAATAATCCAACTGTTAATTTCCCTAACTCATAATTTGACCAATACTAGAACATTCGTCGGCGATGATTGATACAGCTGAAAATTCTCATAAGTTATTCGCAATCTTATTATATTTCGCACAGCTATATCCTATTTCAATTTAATAATACCCTGATCCAATTGGCCAAGATCAATATAAATCGATGCAGTGATTAAGTAAGATAGCACCCATTTACAAGTAGAGTATCCGCTCTAGAGCCCTTCAATTCTACTTAGCAGGTGCAAAATCTTGTTTACGTACATCATCAGTATATTGAAATCAAAAATAGGTTAGCTATTGTTGCTTGTGTTATCTATGATGGTAAGACAATACAATCACATGATGACAATAGCAACATCGCCAATTCCATTGTCAATTTATGCGTTATCTAGTAGTATATGAATATCCGCCGTGGATATTGACGTCCTTTATTGTCAATGTTCGTTCGCAATCATTGGCTAGTGACAGTTTATTCTCCTTTCTATACCATTTTATACTCTGATACTGGGTAAATTTGCCATACAACTTATCCTTGATGTTGTCTTGCCTTGGTTACCATTGGCATACCTAAAAATTCTATCATTCAAAATTACTCCAATTTATTTAGACGATCAATTCGTATTACGGATCGATTGTAGCAGTAAATTATCATTTTATAATTGATAGCCATCCTTATTGAGTTCTATCAATTAGCCATTAAAGGTTAATAATTTCTTCAAGTTCGAATACAATTGTGGAGAAATAGAAGATTGGAAGTACGACATTTTCAACGGTTTAACCCTATTGGAACTCGATATAAATTATTCGACCAATTACGGATAAAAATTCAATATATCATCCTAACTGCGTAAGACTGTAACACGACAATCATGTCTCGCCGCAGTCATTATCGTGATAAATTTTCCGAAAAGAAAATGATGGTTGAGATTAAATTCGATATTATAAAAGAAGATGCTGCTGGCCCTTCTATAAGCCCTACTACGCCAACTGCAATCGGCAGGTTTGATCCTTAAATATCATATCATACATACTTATTTCTAAAATCCAATTGCAAAGACCTTGATTCGAAGTATTTTCAGTTTTTCCTATCTCTATCGTGACAAATACTACAATTTCAAGCTCAATCAGCGTTATTATGATTGCATATTAATTGCTTCCATTCAAAAAAGTTGATTATTGAATGAATGATCAATGATGTACCATAGGAAAAGTTGACTGAATTAATTTTGTTCTTTACTTCCATGATACATTGGATATTTTACCAGTTTTATTTGGCAACATTATTATCGTCATTAATGTTATCATTCAGTTTACTTCTTGGACAGTATTAAAAAAGGCTAGAGATGTCGATCGCTGCGAGAGTAAAATCACTTAAGATATAGTTTTAATGGCGATTATTTTTATTTTGCTGTTGCTCTACGATAACTTCTTTTGAACATTATGCAGGTCGCAAGGGATAGCCATCGTACCTTTCGTCTCTATCATTAATGTTGAAATTATGAGTTTTCTAGATCAATACAAAATTTACCATTATTTTTCATGTCCATTGACTGTTATAACGTATGCAAGGACAATAAAATTTAAATCTGACAATATTCTGAGAAATAAACTAAGCGCCTAGTCTATAGTTATCATTTTATTTGAGAATAGACTACTCTTAGAGTATAATAAACTACAGTATTTTATCCTTTCCTATATAAATTACCAATAGCATCTGATGTTACTGCCGCTTCTAATGTTTATAACGTTGTTTTATTCGCAATTTTAAAGGTTAAAGGTGATTATGTTAGTACTAATTAAAGTTCTAAAGACTATAATATGAATGCTAATGATCACAAGAAAGGAAGTAAAGCAATCGTTCTATAATAAACAGGCTTTAACTTTTTTTGTTGGATGCTATACGACCTCACCAATCTATTCCATCAATCTGAAACACTTCAAGATCTGATCGAATTTTATATTTTTAACAAATATACGTAATGGATATCTACTAAATGCAGGGTCTTAAAATAGTAAAGTATTGGATTACTTTAACTAGAGTCGTAAGATACACCAGGCAATACTTGAATATAATCTTTATCACAGCTCATAGCAGGATTAAAATTTGAATTTACACAACTGACAGGACTACGGCCGATATTACTATAGCCCTACAGCTGATAAAGTTTATCTAATTGTATACGTACGGCTTAAAATAAAACCACTACTATGCGAATATCCAAAGATACTCGATAAGAGAAATCTGATTTTGTACCTAAGGTACTAGAACAAAGTTAAAATCTACGATATATACCGTTAGTTTTTGATTACAATAAAAATTATAAATAGCGATTTATCATTGCTATGGCGACAAGACGGCATTAAAGATTCAATATAGAATGCTATTAATTTTGTGTTGAATATCACCTAAGATTTTTAGCTTTACCGAATTTAAACAACTTCTTCCAATGTGCGTGTAGTAATTGACTTTAAGAAAGCTTCAAATTTTAATCCAAAGTACTTATTTAAGATTTAAAGGATATATTCAGAAAGACCTGATTACTAGATGTCCCTGTCCGTTCTTGTTTTCATGAAGAATGAGTAGCTACACTACTTAGTTTATTATTTACAATTTTTAAGCCGTTCTACCTACAACTAAGTATTATATTCAAAATAGTTTAGCAATATGCCATGTTATAAAATAGATGCCGTAGTAAAAAAAATTTTTACATAGGTAACCAACCATTAATTTGCACATTTCATTCAAGTAGATACCCATGATTATCGAAACTAGTGGCAAGTACTGCTTCAACTTACCGATTTCAATAACATTCATACTAATAGGAACGATATTAATTAATTTATTGAAGAATATCACAATTATATCATGAGCTTCAATTTGTTCCTAATAACCGGTGCTTTCTACTAACTTGAGTAATCAGTTCGTTAACCTATACACCTTCCTGTGTGGATTATGAATAATAAATGGTGATTGAAATTAATATCAAATATTACTCAGATTCGTTTATTTCCATATCATTTCCATTGTTATGGGTCACGTTATGAAATTTTCAGTTACTTGAGTATTCAGTCCGCTTACTTGCATATCCTACGAGTAAATTACGAGCAACACAATGATAATATAGTACTGTTGAAGAACATCATCTCCCTCGAATCATCTGCTTCCATCTGTCCCTAACAACTAGCGATTTCCCATTTGCTCAAAAATCACCCCGTTTACTAGTATATGTCCGAAGAAATACTTATTAATGACAGAGGTTGATTATAAATAGTAATATATATTACTCAAATTCCTGTAGTTCTATGGCAATACCATGATATAAATTATTATTATGTGTATCATGAACTTGCAGTATATCCGTTCCTGGTTGCCGGTGAATTTCTACTAGCTTGAGTAATGAGTTCGCTTTTCTTGCTTGTCTTAAAAATAAATCATGAAGGGTGTGATGATATGCGAAACTAGAATTAGATACCTCTTCAAGCTGGCTAGTTCTATAGCATTACCGTGAGATAGATGATCTTTACGATTGTAAAGCATCACCAATATTGTGTGTGAGTTTCAATTTGTCTCTAGCTTCTAGTGACTATCCACTAGCTTTAAGAACCAGGTCATTTACTTACATATTTTCGAGGAAATCAATTACAAATAGTAAAATCTTGATCATAATAGCAGCACATACTACTCAAATATGTTTGATTTTTTCTACATTTTATGACATGGAGAATTTGCATTAAAAGATATCATTACGAAATTTATTCTTGAAGAATATAATCACTATTACACGCGTTGAGAACGTCAATGCTCCTTAATGACCTAAGTCATTTTCAGTCACTTGAATGATCCGTAAGTCTGCTTATCTATCCCCACAAGTAGTTATCATCACTTAATCAGTATAACTATGATCGAAATGAGTAGCAAATATTTCTCTAATTTGCTTCTATCCATGGCCTTTTCATCATAAGACGGTATTTACTCTTGCGAATATCACTGCTATCGTGATACCATCAACACAAATCCATCCCTCTAACTGCTAACAGCTTTTCACTAATTTGAATACGATAAATGGCCAATTTATGCACATAACTCTTAGGGGTAGAATAAAAACAGCGCGACACCGATTAAAACTGGAGGTATATATTGTGCAAAGTCGCTTAGTTACATAACATTCCTTCCGTCATAGACAATATTTTTTCTTGAAGAATATCTTCACAATTACACGTATCAGAAACTGCAATAATTCCTAATGACCGGAGTCACTTTTCCATCACTTTAATTATCGATCCGTTTACTTATCTATCTTCTACGAGTAAATTACAACCAGCTGAACAATGATCGAAATGAGTAGCAAATGTTTCTCCGATTTGCTTCTATCCATGACCTACTAATGATAACATGATATTCACTCTTGAAGAATATCAATACTATCGTGCCATCAATTTTATATCTGTCTGTAATTACTACTTGGAGAATCAATTCGTTTCAATTAAATGTAAATAGTCAACTTATTTACTTTTCCTATCTCTCTATACCATAAATCATCAATAATATGATCGAATGAAGCAGTAAATACCATTGAAACAAATCTCTTCTCTGCATCATTTCGAAATGAAGATGGAGTAGATTCTTGGCAGTACTAAATTAGACTGCGCAAACTCAGATCTCATGATGATTGCGGCTTATTGTATATCTAACGTTGCCATAGCGACACCAATTTCTTCTCTCGTCAATAGTGAATAGGGGACGAATTGGTTAATTAATAAAAAGAAGGGATTGAGAAGGCTAATCACTTATTGAATTCTACCCACATAGCAACTATGCAATCAAGTTGAAGATTGTAAGAGTAGTGTACACAGCGATTTACAGCAGTTTATTTTTTTAGTCGATAGTGGTGATATAAATAGAAAGAATCAGAGTCAAAATGTCATTAAAGCCAGCCAAGAAGAAAGATTTAATGCGGCCTGGAATGAAACCTTATGAGTAAGCAAAGATGCCTGTATGGAATACAGAAGTGTTTGTGATTGTAGCACAGCGTCCATTGTCGACTGTACCATCATCATCGTAGTGATGATATGATTGATTCATTTAATCGTTTTCTTAATAGCAGGTGGATAGTTAGACTAGCTAGTCAATCCAACAGTAAAACTATAATACACAAGTAGAATTTCAATCAATTAAACGGAACAAATAACTAACAGACAATAACCGCTAGCTTAGTTGTGAATACTACAGGGTATTATAGTGGTCAGTGTGGACGACAATGATGACTTGATTAAATTAATTAACAACGATGCTGTGGCTTGATATTTAAAGCCCATCCATCAAAATTTAAAGTCATTACTGTTGTTAGTTAGCCTAGCATTATTTAAGCTAGCATAATGTCGCATCCCCATCGGTAATTTATCCACGATATTTATTTTCGTCTCTTTTCTATCTTACAGAAAATAGTTTGTCTCGATTGATTTAAATTAGTAACAGTCGGATTCCATTTTTTTCTTACTTTCTTCATTCGTATGTTTGATATTTTAGATCTGGAAATTTATCGAGTTTAAGTAAGAATCAAAAATCCGATCATAAAATTCCGATATGGCCAGAATGGAGTGATGGCGATATTGCCACTGAGAAATGGGTATGATAACAATCATCTAGTTTTGACTGGAACTATAAATGATGAAACAAAATTTCTCGATAGTGTTTTTAGTAATTTACTACCCTAACCATTTTAATTCTGCCTTTTTCGTACTGTTTTAATCATCATTTTACCTTAGGATAATGGAGGTAAAGGAAAAGATAAAGATAAAGGCAAAGGAAGTGGATCAGTGAGTTATACGTAAAGCAAATTATCTTTTTAAATTCTATCCCGTCGATTAATACTTATTTATTTTTAAAATCAATCCCATTTGGATACTTTTTTACCATTGCACTATCGTTTTAACGGTAAATTAGTTACTTTGTCAATAATAGATTCATTATCACCTTACCTTATTTAAATTTTAGGTTCCATTTGAAGATCCTGAAGGTAAAATTGAACTACCAGCTTCATTAAAATCTTCTTTTCATAGTTGGAAGCGGCCTATCGATTATTTACAATCCGCAATTCAAGAAAAGGTAAATTATATTCATCGTAATCTCAATACGACTAGGAAGTAGCTTTTGAATTTTGCTTTAATGACCATACTAATATTCCGTGCCAATATTTTATCTAGATATGGCCTACTGTTGTTGATCCAGAAAGTGCTACTGGATTTGATTTGGTCTCGTCTAATGAGCATATCATGGACAGTGAAGTTATGAGATGGATCATTTGTCAATTATCAACATTATGGAAAATTCAAAATGCTTCATTTAGTGAAACTGAAATGTCACAACCGTTGAATGTCCCTGGCACTTGGCGTCCATGGGAATTTATTTATCCACGAGAAAAAAGTAAAACAAGTCATATGCCAATTTATAACCCCGGTGGAAAGTATTGTATTAAATTATTTTGGCTGGTAAGGAAAGAAATACGCAGCCATAAAAAATATTTTTTGTCGCTTTAATATAAATCTATTTATCGGTCTTTAATGCATAGCCTGCAGCCCTTTATAATTTATTTATTTCTGTGATTTGTATAGGGCTCATGGAGGAAAGTAACTGTTGATGATTATTTACCCTTTGATGAAAGGGGTAGAATGTTATTACCAGCTACATCTAGACCCCACGAATTATGGCCAGCACTATTAACTAAAGCCTTGCTGAAAGTAGCGTCGTTAGAGTATGTAGTCTCTTTATAATAATTTAGCATTTCGAATTAATTTTTCTATATGGTATGCTTCAGTTGCAAGCAAATTATACTCTATAATAATCCCATTAAAATCTAAACTGTGCTTCGTAGTTATCAATGTGGAGATCCTGCAATGGAATTTGGTGATTTCAGCCCCATCCAATGCTTAACTGGTTGGCTTCCTGAACATATTCCCATTACGTAAGTTACTGATATATTTAAAATGAAAACTAGTCTTGCAACTTTAGTAGTAAATGATGGTGAGAAAATTATTATAGAATCCTCATCTTAGATTGATATAACTAAAAATGGATTCTGTTTCAGATCGGAATCTTCTGACAGAATTTGGGACTTGCTAAAATCAGTTTTACCAAATTGGAAACCGCCCAGTCCAGCAACTGATACTCCTGCCGAAGCAGCTCTAGCACAACCGGGGCCTATTATTCCACAACCTGTTATCGTTATGGATAAGCCTACTCCAAAAGGAAAACGCGGAGAAGGCAAATGTAAGAAAGCTGTAATTATTCTGCGATTTATGAATATCTTGACTAATCAGAGATTATGATAATTAAAGTAATTTTGCTAATTTTGAACCTGCAATAGCTTACGACGGCACTCTAAGGCTAACAGTTTCGCCTAATCAAAGTTTTAAGATAATTCAATAATATCGCGGTCAATTTTATGTCTTAATAACCTCAGACAAAAAATTTAAGACTATTTTCGATTACTAACAGTATATAAGTTTGAGGATAAGTTAAATTATAGTTACTTACGCATTCTGATTTTGTGATAATCTATAAACAACTTGATCTACTATAATCGTATTATAATTATTCGAATCCGTGGTTTGTTTAACATAAATTGTAACTTTTTATTTCTAATCTAGCTAATCCCGGCAACCTTAATAATTCCAATAACTTCGACATGACTAATATCGGCAATAGCAAATCAGATAGTCCACATTTGGCTATTTTCGCATCATATTCAAGTTGTAGTAAGGAGCCTCTTCGACAATGTGATCAAGAAGCACTTGTAAGATGCATCGACAATTACTATCTCGATTTAAATTAAGTATCGTATGTCATTAGCAATAAATTAATTTTAATTTCTAACCAATATAGGCAACCGCTTGTGAAAAATTGCAAGAACATAATTTACCAAACAAATTAGCTCATGTCGTCCATTTATCGCAGACTAGAGGTTATCCACTTATTATTCCACCGCCACCAGCTCCTATTCCTCGTTTTAAATTAATACGCAAAGTTAAGAAAGATCCTGAAGAAGAAGATGAAAGTGCCAAATCGCCTCCAAGATATGTTGAAGTGACTTCTTTATTAGCTCACTATGATGAGACTAAAGTGATAGATCGATCACAAGGGTAATCTGAAATATGGCTCTTACTTTATAGCTAGTTGTAAAGTATTAGCAAATGACTACGATACCTTCAGATTGTAGTCTATAGATTCTATTCAATGTCTGATTTTCGATCTAATATTGCTAATTTAATCTTGTCTGCAGCGATTTCGCCAAACAAAATAATGAGGAAACGATTGAAGAATGTGAAGATACAACGGGTAACGATTTAAATAAGAAAAAAATGAAAAAGAAAGAACAAATTAAAGAACTTCAAATGGACAAGCAAGGAAAGAAACAGAAACAGCAACAAAATATCACTAACTACGAAAAAGCAACAGAAAAACAACAAAAACAAATGCTGACCGTTGATAAACCTCTAACCAAAGCTAATCTTAATGCTTTAGATAAAAGTAATAAGAAAGATGGTATTCGTAAACGAATAAATACACTTAATCGCGTTAATAATGAAGAGGGTACGGAGAAAGCTATTAGTGAATGCGAAAGTACTATGGTCGATAGCTTGTCAAGGTGTGAAGACGAAGGCGATGGCGATGGCAAAGAAGATGAAAAGAGTAACGAAGATGAAGCCATTAAAAAACAATTTTGGATGTCATTTGAAGACTTTTATAAATCTTTCAGGTTAGCTTCAATATTGATATACCATATAATAAAGGGAATATCAAATACTTCGATACATCCATATACTGATTTCCATTTAATCCTATCCAATTTACCTAACAGATCCTTAATTATCTATCACAAGTCCAATTCTTATGCTAATTCAAAATGGAAGGCTGATTATAAAGTAAGTAATGCTCGAAGTGAATTGTTTAAACCATAAAGAATAGAATAGATCATGATATCTATATCGCCTGCAATTATAATACTAGGGCCTACATTTAACATCCTTGACATCACAAACTGTGTAGCAATTACATTCCTATTTTATTTATCTACAATTAATTTTTACAAATTGTGTAGGGATTCAATTACATATTTTATTGACAAATACTAATTTAATAGCGACTCGGATATATATGTATATTCGTACACTAGCTATTTATGTAAAGATAACTGTATTATTTGACTTAGTTCATATGTCTAATATCTTTTGGATATATGAGTTGCTAATACTCGATTTAATTGATAAAATACTAACCTAGTAGTATTTCAGACATATTTAATAACGATAAAATTTTTATAGTGTCTACCTCAGTTTGCAGACCTGAGGTTATTTCAGATACATTATTGTTCACTGATTAATCGAGAAATGCTAAGCCACTGAAGCATTAATTCGCCAGTTAGATTAAGGTGATAATTATATTTAAATTATATGCCTAATATGATAATATTCTTTGCTCTTTTGATAGCATTTAACAACAATTACACATACCTCGAGAAAAACTGCTGGTTCTGCTGCTCAAAGTGCGTCAGGAAATATTAGTAGCTTATCGAGAGGATATCAACCCGTTTCGCAATCAATTCAAGCTATGGTTATTATACATTTTAATCATAAATTCTTGTCATCCTTTTTAGTACCTTTAACTAATCTTTTAAAATATTGTAGACTCCGGACGATTCCCAGCAACCTTATTTATGTATCCTAGATGAAAATTGTAAAATGACTAATTTTTAGAAGTTATTCTGATAAAATGAATGTCAAAACTGTTTTTAAGCTGATGTTACAAGTACGACGGTTCTAGCAACATAACTTTCATAATTTTAGCAATATAAGGCAGAATCTCCATGAAATTGATATTTTCCTTAATAAAAATTCAATTACAGTTGTTGACAGTTTAAAACCGATCGAATTATTATTCTGTTTCACTTCGGTTTCGCGATGGCGTGAAATAGTTATACAGAGTCGTCATGGCAGAAGAGAAAGTGGATCTAATCATCCGACGCCAGTCACATCAGAAGCGGCAGCCAACAGCCAGATTGCTAATGCTCTATCTGGTAATCACATCCATCCTGGATTACTCGTTGCTGAACCGTATACATGGAAAAGTCTCGAAGTCGGAGAAGCAATACTTCGTTTACGCACAACGGGTACAAAAGCTGTTCTTCTACCATTGCCAGCTGGGTATGTAACTTAACTTGAACTATTAATTTATTAATCACCGTCGAGTTTATTTACGTAATCCAAGTCTGATCTACTTCATTCTAAATTTCGATATAGACGCCATTTACTACGCTTGAGTATGCAAGCACCTTTAGGTTATTATTTACAAATATGCTCCATGACGCCTTTTATCTTGGGCGACGAAGATGTAGTCATGTCATGCTTGAATAAGGTAAGCATTTGATTTATTTTCAGGAAAATTAAACCAGAATCCGTTTGTAAATCATGAATGTGATGACTGATCGATTGAATTTGTTCAATTTATACAGGAAAGTTTAAGATTTATGGCCCATGCTAGTCAGCGTTTGGAAGGTGTATCAGAAGCCGTTACTAATTTGGATAACGAGGAAATGTTTGGTAAAGCAGTCCAGAAAATGGAACTAGGAGAACAGTATCCCAAAATAGCGCAAGTTATGCATTTTACGGTAATATTAAAGTATCTGAGGGTCATCAATGATAATATTGATATAACAAAACTCACTCTAATCCTAGCCTTTAGTATTTCTCGTACTGAAATTTATCTTAATTTTGCGTTGATTGCACAGGGCTACGCTAGAGCGTTCATTTATCATTTGAAAGAGTTAATAAGCGAAGTTACACCAGCAATAAAGTTTGCTATCAAAGCTTTAATCTTAAAAATTCTGCTTCATCGAAATATAGGAGTAGCTATTGGTAAGTAGCAAGAATTTATTCATATAATTGGAATCAGTTGATCAATGCGACTATTTGTAATTCATAGTATTACTCGGTAGTTTATCAGAACTATGATGGCTCGTAATCTAATCCATCACAATAATGTTAATATTTGTAAATATAGAAAGCCTAGACTCCATTCATAGCATCTCCGATGAGTACATTTCATATTATAAAGGTTAGCTATTTTCTAAGTCTGAGGCTCCTATCTGCTTTAAATTTAAACTACAACAGTTCTCGAAATAGGTCACTGATATTTTATAAATTCGATGGGTATCAAATATTTAATTAGGATCCGAAGAAACAAATATTAGTAACGCAACATCGGAATATCCCTTAGAAGAACGGATATCTAACAAAGAAATCAATGGAGTTATAAAATTTCAAGCCTTATTTCGTGGGCATCATGTTCGGAAGTTACTTAAAGCAATCAAGCCAGGTATAAAATACTTTCACAAAAATGACATTTTTTAAATCTGTTGAGGGAGTGCAGCACTTGAGCTCAATAAAATCTGAAAATTTGGTATTGAATATATGAAATCTTTATAGATTCTGCTGATTATGACAAAATTAAAGAAATTATTCTCCGGACTTGGAGTAAAATAGATCAATCGAAATATGAATTTATTTCTACCCGAATTCTACGGTAATAATTTATCGATCTATCAGATAGCTCAAAATAAAAAATAATGCACTTACGTTAATATTTATGTACAGATCAATGTATAAAGATAGATATCCATTTCTTAATGCTACGTTCACTTTCTTTTTTCAATATAGAACGGTACTGATGCTAGAGCCTGATTTATATCCAAGTCTTCCATTCTATAAAGATGAGATGTACCATATGGTATACCATGATTACTCCGGCAGTTACGCTGAACAGCCATCCAAGACTTGGTTTGTTGTATTTAGGTGAGTACAACTGTGCATTCTTGCGTAAGATACCTTTGGTCATTTGGTAATGTAGGAAAAGAATCAGGTATTATCTAGCTAATTGAAGCATTATTAAATATCTAGTATTTACTTCTATTCAATCCATTAGGGAGGTATTTCGTGTTCAAGAATCCGTTTTGATGATACCCAAATTAACTATACCGCTGCAAAGCTGCCACTTGCGCGTTGTTAATAACGATAATGGTGAAGAATTACCACGAGTATTTCAACACGTGGCTCCGAGTCCGCTGAAGAAAAATAAAACTGGATATACCATCGTTGCAGATGCTAAAACACCCGATGATGGAAATGCACCAGCTGGAAAGTGGCGTATGAGATTAATTGGTTCTAATCAACCTTTACCTGTACCCTATCGTGACTTTTTCTCCACAGTTAGCTTAACTACAAAAGAGATTCAAGATTATTACTGTCCTAACAAGGAAGGCATCTTTCTACGGTATGCATTAATTTTCTAAAATTGCCTGTAAATTATTTGATTCTTATGATATCAAGATAATAAATATCCGCACGTTATTTATATGCGTATGCTTGACCTTATTATTCCCATAGCTATGCCGTCAAAGTTAGAGATGATCTACTTACCAGTCTACAGATTGGAACATCAAATAGCAACGCCTATATTGAACTGCAGGTAAGACTATTCGTAATATACATATTAAATTTCGAATGAGGAATGAGAGCTCTATTTTTTATCTTATAGCCTTTACGATTAATTTTACTTTCTGTGATTGACTAGGTCTTGGACAATGATGAAGAAGTTATAAAGTCTACCGGACGAGGACATGTTGTGATTCCTGCCTTCACTTTCCATACCGATTTCGATAACAGAAAAAAGATGGAAAGTCGACCACAAAGTAGTCGACATGGAAGCGCTAAAGGTTAGTTATGAGCATAGCTAAGATGGGTTTGAAAATTATATAAAAGCCTTGTAAAATGTTTCACATCAAGTCGATGAAAATAAGCATCGCCAAAACAAAATGATAGTTGCCGTAATCTTCGATTTAAAGTTATGATATAGCAATATGCGCTCATGACGTATCGTAGCGATCTAAATTATACTTAGGAATTGCACTTAAGCTACTTAAAGCTATCTAGATCCTGAAATAATTTAATTGAAAATCAATTACATTGGATTGTAATTAAATAAAGATATAAAATATTTTTCTCTAGGCCGGCATCGAAATCCGCAACCTTCAGCCCAATCATCGACTGCAACTCCTAGTAAAAAATCACGCCCATCTCGACCCTCTTCTTCATCATCTTCATCTTCGGTAGTCTATAATACGGATAGCTAAAATCAATATTAAATTTTCGCATCAATTTGAAAGAATAAAGCATTAATATTGCTCAATCTATTTTGAAGAATAAGGAAATTTCTGCTGTAGCAGCTATACCAGAAGAGAACAAGATTGAAGATAACCCGGAAGATAGAAAGGTAAATTTTATGCAAAATAGCTCTAATAACATAGCGTTCTAATTCATGAAATGGAACGATTAGCTTGACATGGACATGTATAGATATCAATATTGAAATTTTTATTCTATAGGCACATAAATATATAATTCAAGCTAGAGTTTTACGTGATAGTTGGAAGTTAAATTCTACCGAACAGCTATTTGTCGATACATTGAAAATCTCTGATCGCTCCGATGCAATTGGTTTGTAAATTATTCTATATTGGAAGCAGTTCATTATCATCAGAAGACATTGTATAATAGCCTCAATAGAGTCCTTCTTTCACATTTATTGACGAATATCATATTTATACAGCGAAAGACAGACCTAATTCTAGCGAGAAACATGAGAAATCAGAAACTCAAAAACCTTCGAAGCGTAAAAATAAAAGTCATGACGATAAGCATAGTAAACATGATAAGGATGGTGGATCAAGATCGAATAAATCTCGAAGCAACGTACCTAAATCACAATCTCAACAAACGGTAAATTTTTACCATTTCAAGATTTGATTAATGTCTATCTGATTCTAATTCCATTTTTCCTTTCAATTAATGATTTAATAACCATCCTATAGCAGTCACAATTCGACATCAGTAATCCCTACTGGACGTTACGTCTTGTTGTAGAATCCAATTCGGTAAATTATTATTATTTTAAAACAATTTATACTACTAAATTTTAATTATAAAACTAAATAGAAATTGCGCTATCTTCAGACGGAAAATATTGAAATTAAACGTGATACAGAACGTCAGGATGAAATTCAATCCCTAAAGAACGCTTGGGAAGTTGCGGAGCCTGGTCGATCGGAAAAGGTATAAATTGGATGGTTTAATTTCATTGTACGGATGCAGGTGTTAATGCCTAATTCTATATTGGTCTAGGCTAAATTAATGCGCCAAAAATTTATTGAAGAATTTGGTATTCCAGAAGATATCATAGAAATAGCTGAAGTTACGAATGAGTTACGAAAAGAGGATTCAATATCGAGTATCAGGCATCGTGGTAGTGTCATTGAGGTTGAAAAATCCAAATCGCCCATTCCATCTCCTAAAATACAACGAAAAGTAACGTTAAAGCCCATCGATTTTGGTGAACACACACTGTAAGTATAAGTTGAACTTCTCTACATTAAATTGTATGCAAGATATCGAGAATTCAATCTAGTTATTTGTTATTTCAAGCATACATGCATAGTCCACTAATTTGATTACGTTATTCACCTGGACATTCTAACTCCTATTCTAAATTCCTTGCTTCCTCTATTTCGAAATGAAAAGGAAAGCGGAAAACGAATCATCGTTACTGTTGGAAGATATCGAAGATTCTAGACATTTACTGCAACAAAAAACGATCCACGACTATCGGAAACGTCGTGAAGAAGTCCTTTATCGAAGAAAGGAGGATAAGCAATCACGAAGCGTAACTAAAGAATCTCAACTACAAACAGCCATCGAATTACAGGTATTTGTAATCGTTCTACTACTTTATAGAACTGTGTAACACTACTATACATAATGATACAATATGAAATCGATGTTAGGGCTAGCTGTTCAAAATCTACTTTCGTTCTTGTGATTAGGGCAACCTTGATAAAATACGATATGAAATAAAGAAACCTCGAGAAACCTATAGGCAAAAGTACCTAGAAGCAGAGCGGGCTAAGGCCGAAGCGGCAGCCGCTGCCGCTGCTAAAGCTGAGGAGAAAACTAGAACTATTTCGCCACCAAAGAAGAAGAAAGGCAAAGAAAAATCACCCAGTCCAAGTAAAAGGAAAAAGTGACCGGTTAACACGATCATTTCGATGCCTTAGCTACAATAAAACAGATATAAAATTATAAATCCATCTATTCTTTCAATCATTCCAATATAAGAGCTTTATTAAAGATTTATTTCGAGGCCGATATCCGTAATGGGTAGGCGCAATGATAGCCATATTAATTATCAAGTTTATTAACAGTCTTAAAATTAAAAACTCTTTTTGTTATAACATGTCATACGAGAGAGAAATGTTGTCAAATAGATTGTTTCCTTCGATCGGGGTTGATTCATTCCGACTATAGAGATGATTAAATCGATAAATCTTCTTGTTTATATGATATTAAAGTTAGTAGTGGCATGAAGCATATAATGGCTTTGTATATCAATTTTTGGGGAATTACTTGTGAAGTACAAAGCAATGGAAGAAACGCTAAGCAATAATCACTTGGCGTCTATTCCACATAAATTTAGTAATCCTTTAGTATTTACGTATACCGGCAATCTATGTAAAGTTTATAATATTACATCTATCCTTGACAACATCAAATTATTTATTTGATAATAATTGAATCGCTTTCTTAAATAGTGCAATAACCATATAATTAGTATTTTGATAGTCAACATTTGAGCTGGTTGTAATATGACAGATGATGGCTATCATTTTTTTCTACAAATACGACTTCATGACTAAAGTTGTACGATTACTTTCTTTATGTTGTCATGATAATTGATTTTATAAACCTCTCTAATAACTGAGGATGAGCGCTAGAATAAAATTAATATATGCAAATATTGCTGACTAATTTGATATTGGATGGTAACAGAGCCCTCGTATCACACCATATTTATTGAGACAATTAACTGAATCTGAAAATAATAGTACTCATGGCTAGAAAAGTGGGCAAGCAGAATAATAATAATTATCACTCGTTCCAACCACATTCAACGAAAGTAACATTAATCAATCTTGGCAGATAATCGTTTTTATAAACCTCTCTAATATCTGAGGATGAACACTTAGAGTATAATTAATATATACAAATCTTGCTATCTAATCTGATGTTAGATGGCAATGGAGTTCAATGAAAGCAACTTTACTCAATGTTAGCAGCTACTTGTATTTAATTAGATACTTTAAGCCAAGAAGGAGTGTATTATATTCCAAAAGATATGATAATGCTGCAATACTATTTCTTCATTCGATAACAAAACTTAAAATTTATAAATAACTGTTTTATCTGTTTATTGTTTGTATTACATTATGATACAATAACTTTATCGTATAAATGATGATTACTGTACGAGAACACAAATGAGCTGATATTTCAACAAAATTGGAGTTTTATTACCAGCCTAAAGACTAACGGTCAGTTCGTAAGCGATTCTTGCTTTTTTTATACTTTTGTAGAGAGTTATTGGGTTGAGTTCTGACAGAATATATTCAGTCCGTCAATCATTTTTTTCAGTACTAAGTCTTTAGTTATTTCTTTTGTGTCTTCCCTGATCCAGTAACCTGGTTCGATTGTTTCCCTTTTTGCTTTTTTTTTGCTTCAAAGTCCCTCAATCGGGTTCAACGCATGAATCATAATAACTAACAGTAATGGACTCTTTCCAATAAAATTATAAGTAAATAAGATTCGATTTAAATTAAACATTATTGAACAAAATTGCGATGTAAATTCTTCAAAACATTGACTAAAAATAATTTTTAAATGAAGAGATTCAATTCAAAATCAATCATTTTAATAAAATCGCTTTAAATTGAATTTTCTATTAATTTCGTAGGCCAATGCTGTACCGCAATAGCAGCAGCGAAATGATAAGGCGTCTGAAACATCAGTTATAGTAAAAGATAAGATTAGCTTTATGTTAATCTTATTCGATTCATGTTTATGTTTACAAAATAGTTGGTATTGATTGATGGAATATGCTAAACATACACGTATATTATAACTAGCTGTAACCATGTCACGTTCTGTAATAGTTACATGATTAGTATGTTACCTTCTTTCTATATATGGTTAAATATCACGATGTTATCACGTCAGGCGTATATAGATGTAGTTATGGTACTATATTAAGGTTATCTATATATGTATTCTCATGTTGCCATACTTGGCATGATAGTCTATTTGTAATGACTAAACTAGGGAAACCTTTCTGTTGTTGATGATCTTGTGATCTACGTCAGTAGATCAAAGGTCACAATAAAGAAAGTATATAAACTCTTCGTTTTAACAATAAAGTTAGTTCTTCAACTTAATTACTGGGTCTCCTTGCTGAGTGCAGATCTGGTACTTGTTACAAAATTTGGAAGTTGTAACAAACCAATATTACTCATATTTGATTTACACAGATAAATCCTTCAAAGTGTCGTCAACAGGCTTAGAAATACGTATGAGTAGATTTGCGCTAAAGATGGAATCTTGTTGGACTCATGTTTATGTTTACAAAATAGTTTAAAATAAATGACATAATATACTAATCAACTATATATAAAAGAAGAAATGTCTACAATCTCCCTTAATATTGCAATATAAAATGAAAATGTTATTATATTTACAGTATATCATAGTGTAATTTACGCGCACCATAAATGTACGGGAGACCGTCAGTAATGCAATGGGGATGTTGGTTAGTTATACGCGTATTCCATAACAGGCTTGAACCGATATTATCCATATTTAATTTATGCAGATAAATGTTTCAAAGTATCAGCAACAAGTTTAGAAATGCTCATAAGTAGATTTGCGTCGAAGATAGAATCTTGTTCAACTCACATTTACATTTTAAAAATAGTAAAATAGCTTGCAGTGATTAATGTAATGTACTAATCATAAATCGTGTAGGCTTAAGCTGAAATTATCCACCTTATAATAATACGGTTGTATTTCAAGCCCTTATTAGCAAATTTATAAATGCTCATGAATGGATTCAGATCGAATGTAGAATCACGTTTAACTTTATTTATGTTTACAAAATAGTTTACCGTGACTGATGTAATATGGTAATCATATATCATAACAAGCTTGAACCGAAATTATTCATATTTGATTTACGCAGGTAAATGTTTCAAAGCGTCATTAACGAGCTTGAAAATGTAAATAATTAGATTTGTGTCAAAGATGGAATCTTGTGATCGTCAGTAAATTTTATCAGTACTTGCTTTTACGTCACTGATAATATTTTTATTTTGTATCTATGGGTTACGTTTAGTACAAACAACTTGAAAAAATATCCTGTTGACATAGCCAAAATCAACCCAAAACTAATATTAACGCCTTTGTTTAATGAGCTTAAATGATTAATTATTCATCGATGTGTATAACAGGTTATTTGATCGATTGATCATTTTCTTTCATTTTTTGCCCTATTTCGATGCAATTCCTTGCTCCATGCGCTTACAGCATTGATAGTATACAATATAAGCAAAAGCATATTGGAGAAGCTGTTTAGTCTATCCAGCATATTCAAGATTTATAAATTTTCTTTAATAGTGTAATTGGCTTTCAATTGTAGACGTCCGTGGTTATATTGTACTAATAAATTTACCAAAGAATTTACACTCAAAAGCGTACCTTATCAATATCACTTACGGGAACAGTTTAGAGTCGATTTATTACTATAACCCCTACAATTCGCAAGTGTTGTAGAGATGAAGCAAATTATCGTGTAAAATTAGAGACATATCATGGCTTTGTGCCATTGAAATGTCGCAATAAATACTATATTTAGTTCAATATTAAAATTAGTCTAACAGCTCAAAGGCAGGATTACTGCTCTAAATATTCTTATCGACTAACACTAGATTTACACGAGTATTACTAACCTCTTCAATACGACTTTATAGCGTCTTTATTAAATAAAATTTATCGCCTACTTTTATATACTGGAAATTATTACCGATTACTAGCAATTAATTAATTAAGTAATAAAGCTTTCACGGTCTTAAACTTTTTATTATCGTAGAATAAATTAGTATCGGCGGGTATTCTTTAATGGGTTAATCATAGGGGAATCGAGGCTAAAATTATAACCATAAAGTACTCAATTTCATAAAATATGGAAGGTATGGTGAAGCTAGATTAACTTAACGAGATATTAGGTGCTAATTACGGTTAACTGAAACAAAATTAATTAAAATGATTCTATGAACAATAATGATACAGCCTTCATATAGACAGTGGTACCAATATACTATACTTCATGCATGTTCAATAGTGCAATTTACTGCTATGAACTTTGGCTATAGGTGATACAGTGTAAAGATTAATTACATTACCTAGTCTAACAGTAGCTCTTTATTGTAGCAGAATTAACAATAGTTTTAATTAATAATTAATTTTAAAGCCATTTCTGAGCAGATATTGAAGCTTTGCGTACTAAATAAAGTATATCAAAGGATTGAATTTTTAGCATTTAGCTTTGGATGAAATTTTATCCGATTTAAGCAGGAAAATAAAATGTTAGTGGAGGTAATATCGATAGATTTAGAATATCCTCAGCTAGTGAGTCGTGCCATTCTCAGTAAGCATTCATACTAACTGTTTTTGTTCTCAAAATAGAATCTTTTAGTCGAAGGAGATAATTTATGGTAATACTGTAAGCTTCATATATGATACTGTAGGCCGTTAACACTTTAATCATAGCAGCCGTTATCTCTATTAGGCAGGAATTAAATAGTAATAGCGGAGGAAATACCAGTATGTTAAGAATATCTTTAGCTAATACTGCCAAGCAATCATGCCATTTCAGTTAACATTACTGTTACACGTTTCATGTTACTCAAAAGCTGCAATTTTTAATAATTTTGAATAACATTGAATGTAAGATAATGATTAATTAATTGTAGCTACTAATGTTACTGTAATGGTAACAGGACTAAGAATATTAAAAACTGCTGTAAAAATAGAGCTATTTTTGAGGAGATATGCATACATTATACAGTATTTGAAGTATGCCAGAATTTGCATTTATAATAAAAAGCCCTTAATGTCGTATGATACTTGCAGAGATTGAGAATACATCTTAGATGAATATCATCACCTTCTTTCTAAATAAATTTTCGTCTCTCATAAAGCACTAACATACCATCATTAACGGTATTAACAATTCACTAGAAAATGGAATAGAGTTATCCTATTTTTAGGCTTTAATAGGGCAAAAGTCATGCTGATCAATTCTTCCTCTTAATTACTCTAATTAGCGTTCAGTTAATTGAACAAGTCGAATAACAATTGACACTAAATGCCTTATTCTATCACATTATAAGAGGTAAAAAAATCTCCCTATACTGATCTTTTATAGCTAGAACCATTTTTCCATAAAATTAGTCAATTTCCTCTCCATTATCATTGCATATGAAGTGCGAATTTTGTAGGATTATGGTGTGGAAAGTGATTTCATATCTACGATAGCATAATCCAGGAGAATCTATTTACGTCAGCTGTTAGATGAAATGAGCAGTCGGCAAGTACGCTTAAAATACGCAATGATATTTCAAAAGAGGGTATAACGATCTTTCTGAAGACGGAAAAAGCGTCATAAATATCAGCAATTAGGAATAATTATTCTTAATCTATGTACAAATCCAATACTTTGAAGTGATTCGATCATTTGCAGTAATTACATGGGCATCATCAACACAACCTATCATTTATCGAAGTAGAGATCGATAGCGTTATTTTAAACTAGCTGTTAGAGGTCAGTATTTAGCTGAAAAAATAGAATAGGACGCGAAAGCTATCCAAATAACATGTTCCTGGAGTCAAAAATAATTGCTGTGCTATTGAGGAAATGCCATTCCAATCGTGAGTAAATTTATGAATTATTCATATCAAAACTTGTTTTGATTCCATGTTATGATGATTTATACCGTAAGTAGTTATACAATCCATAATGGTCAAAATAGGTTAGTTTATTGTTAATAACATTAGAATAGGACTATTGAATTGTAAATAAGGGTAAAAATCTTCCAGTGTTTTACCATTCATAATTAAAGGTTAAACAGATAAAGTAACATTGTTATTCTAATGATCTGGATACAAAAATTTCATTAGAAACAAACGCGTTACTAGGATATCACTAGCAATAGTAATTGGAATTTAATATTAATGATTTTAACACATGCAACTCTACGTATAATAAGCTTTCGATCATCGTTACATCTAATTTCAATTCCAATGATAATTCAATCTCTATATTGATTGGAAGGGTAACAACCACTTGATTAAGAGTCATCATATACTGGGATGGCAAAGCAGTCATTGACTGAAATATTAACGAAAGATTACTTCATTCCCAATCCCTTATTTTGGATTAACAGACATCTTGTCTACCTAAATTAGTTTTCACCATTGGATAGAAACTTTTTACCACTGTTATTTGGTATCTAAGCGAACGATTTATTTCCAATTAATACGAGAATTGGGCCATTTTCTTACCATCAATCTGTACTTGAAAATCTCTTGCTATGAAAAATCGAAAACTTAAGTAATCCATTTAAATAATTATCAGTTGTTCTACATATGTAATTCAAATCAAATATAGAATTTTATTACATCTTATTAAAAGCACTCTGTTAATTATTGGATCATATGACATTAAAGTATAATCACGATCAACAAGTAAAACCATAGGAATTGACTTATAAATTCAACTGAACTAATCATGACAGACATCTTTAATTTAACTGAAGTTCAACCAAATCAAAATCGTCAAAAATTGGGCAATCGACGACATATATCTATTGCTGTTCCACTTGTTGATCATTCTGAATCGGCAAAATTGCCGTACCCACCAAAGATTAAACGCACAACCACATTCCCTATTTCCAATCATAGAACATTATCGCCAACATCTAGAAGTTTACGTTCGCCAGTGCGCCCTACGACTCCCAAACGTTCGTCGAATATTAAAAATATCTATCGTCATGTTTCTAAATCGAAGAATACATCAGAAGATCATGAAATATCATCAGGTAGCTATCAAATGGATCGTCAGGCCTTATTAGCGCAAATGCACCCAGACCTATTGGCTACTCTTTCGGAAGACAGCGGTTCTACTAGAGCTGGTGCTGAAAGTGTCAGTAGCTTTGATAGCGAATCTATAGCAAGTCGTTCATCTCGCTCTAGATTAGCTTCGCCAAATTTTTCCATGGTTAGCGAAGTGATGGATAAAGGGATTGATGATGATGGCCTTCCCTCTTCATCTATCCAAAAATCGCACCGACGTAGTATAGCTGTACCTAGTAACAATATTAAATCGAAACAAGAAAATAGAAGGGTATCATTGGCGTTTCCTAAAGCGGCCAATTTATTAAGTAGTAAAGCAAAGGGTATTCTCTTTTTACAATCTCGCCGGGCATCAATAAACCCTAATAGACGTAATCCATCGTCACGACGTACGAGTATGAAACCTTCGACGAGTAATCTGTTTGATATCAGCACAACCGATGGAATTGAAGAACCACCGCCATTATCACCTAAAGAACGACCCCATGTTTGCACGCATTTATCATTGGAAGGGCAATATGTCTTATTAAAATGTTACGAAGATGTACTTGTCAATAAATTATCTAAAGTATTTCCTGGTACATGGAAAGAATTATTGCGTTGTCGATCGCCTAGCTTAAGAGGTGACGAAACTATCGATCGAAATGAAATGCTGTGTACTGGTACAAATCATTTAGATAATATGAACGATAAAAGAAGCAACGAATATACGCAAGTAGAGGAAGAAAATAACGAACTAGACGATCTCTTTGGCATTAGTATAATCAAAGGGAAAAAGGGAGGAAATAGCTCGCGTAAAAATCAAAGTAAACCATCTTTGCCACTGCTTCATGTTCCGAAGTGTAAATTACAATTAAGTTTACGTTTTCGTACAGCTACAGATTTATTAGATGCTCTAAAATTGGATCCTAGCGAGCCGATCCAGTGTCAGAATAAATTAAGTGAGAAGTGGATTGAAAATTTAGTTCATCATCCTTTAAAACATTTTTCAAAATGGTCAAACACATGGCAAACCGACTTTGCATTTCAAAGTGCTCCAAGCGAACAATTAATGTTGCAAAATAAATAATAAATTTATATAAAAGCAAGCTATCTTAGACTGAAACTACAGCATTTGCATCATATGGACGGCTAGGAAAGGTTTTGTATCAGTTCTCATATCTATTGAAACAGTTTTTATATGTCGATTTGATATCAATTTGGATATTTTCCACTGCTGAATTTTATTTCTGTCATAGCGCTAGCAATAGAATTGCGATAAATTTAACGGTATTAATATGAGTGGCCGAAACTATTTGCATAATATGAACGACTAGGAAATGTTCCTATATTACTTCTCATATCTATTGTAACTATTTTTATTAGTCAATTTATTACAAATTTGAATATTTTCTCTACTACTGATTGCCATTTCCGTTACTGAACTAGCAATAAAATTGTGATAAATTTAACAGTATTAATGCTTAAAGACTTGTGTGATAAACATCAATTCTGCAATTATATGAAATCACTTTTGCAAATTAATAAAGTGCAATACTTAATAAAGTAATAATTTTAGTTATTCAATTCATGAATTTTCTTGTTAATACCAATACGTTCTCTGCTGTACAAATTTTTAAATTAGAATAAGTTGGAAGGACCTTATTTAACATAGCAATGAAATTAGAAAGGTCAAAGCATCGTCTTTATTTACAAAAAAATTGCTCATCATATGGCATATTTGAATTTTGAAGAGTATACTCATATCTTCAATTTCAGGTTACAACTATTCACTAATAATAATTCACAATATCAGTGGATAAGACAGTGAAGATACCTTAACGGCAATATATAACATTATAATTCGGAACATAATCAGCATACGAAGAATTCTTTAATAGTGTAGAATATATAAAGTATTTGATGGATAACCACCTTACTATTGGGAAAATTGCATATGCTGTATTCAACTTATAAATATTTCAATCAATAAATTTTTATCTAAGGCAAATCAACATAATCAAAGATTATGCGAACTTTGCAAGCAGCTACTATCAATACTATCAATATCATTTAGACTCGTTAATAACGAATCTTAACATTAGATAAGCTATGTAGTTTAAATTGAATAATAGTATACGTATGCTAGATAATATATAATAATACAGTAGATAATGTTATAAAAGGAATAGATTAGATGTTTATACAGTTTTATAACCAGATAGAAAGTAATTAGAAGCAAATACGAGGCAGTTAATAAAGTTGTTTATATTTGACATAATGCCTTATGATATAGGTGACAACATCCATATTATAAATTTATAATAGTCTTAAACCATTTACTTTAGGTATTGGATGGATTATTAGGATCTGAGTCCGCTTCATCATTAGAAAAAGCTGCTTGACGTGTTGATTTCCAACTTAATAATTCTCGTAATGACTCACGGTTATTTATGTTAATGAATTTCATATAATCTTTAGTCATTTTATGAGCCCTTGCGATACCGTACTGCACCCTAGCTTCGTCAAGTACTTCTGTATCTGTCATTTCCTGAGCAACTTTAAAAGCTTTACCAAAGTATTCCACTGCTTTAGAATAATTGCCCTGTTATTTAGAAATTGTTTCAATAATAAAGAATATAAATGATAAATCTTGCATTTATAGTAATACCGTTATTGACTAAAAATTAGAAGCTAATACTGCTATAGCAGAACTATTATTACAGATGTCATTACCATTGAGTTAAAAATTCCTCCCAGTTTGGTACAAGCTTTTCCGAATTCTTTCTGCTGATTACATTTTTCTGCTACTGTAGCAAACTTTTCCAAGTTTTTAAAAGTATTCTCTATGTCGTCTTGACTGATATAAGTAAATAAACAGAAGAATCGTTATTGTTTGCGCTAAATTATTATATTAGCGTTGTTTAGATTGAAGTACTCTATTAGGAAGAGATGATTAATAAATTACCTTTCGTAACAGCTTGCCATAGCTTCATATGCACGAGCTGCGCCAATATCATCTCCTTCTTGTTGGCATATTTCTAGATATGAGTTGTGATACTAATATACAAAATTTAGCTTTAGTCTGGCAATCGATACTTACGTATAACTATTATGATAGCATATTATTAACATTATTAATTATTACCGTCAGAGCCATTTGTGGATCTCCATTTTCGCTAAATGCCCGTCCAAGCCTGTAGCTTGTTATTCCTTCAGCATGTTTACTACCACCTGGTAAAATACGAAATAATAATATCTAAATTTAAGTATACCTTCTCTCACGGTATACGCTTTTATAGTTTTGATTAAATGTTGTACAATAGTGGATGTAAACACTACTATATAATAAATACTATGTTAAATCTTACCTTCTTTAGCTACATCGTATGCTTGTAGTAAAAATTTAATACTAACTTCAGAATTTTCCCTTGACGTCTATTAGATAATAATCATTTCAATAAAATGGTATCAAACATTTTGAAAAGTAATATTTTATCCTAAAGAAACATTAAATTATAGTAGGGGATACCTTAGCAGCAATTGCTGTATAAACACGGCATAAATGCTCGCAAGCTAAAGGAAACAATTGTTGGCCATCGTCATTTATCCAGTCACGGTTTTTAGTCAAATTATAAAACTCTTCCAAGTAGGGTAGTGCTTCATTATTTTCGCCTTCAAAATTGGATACCTTAAAATTAGTTATTGTCTGTTTGTATGCCTAAATACACTATTACTTTGGTAAGTTTTTAGGCGGATTCGATTCCAATATAAAATCTCGCTCTTACGAAATAATCCGATACAGTTAATAACAGTTTATATTTGCACTAAAATAGGTTGTTCATCTAGATCTGAATACCTCTATCAACAAGTGAAACTCCGAGATTACAATTTGCTTCACTCTGAGTTTTTCCATCATCATGTTCTATAGTTTGTGCTATCTCAAGGCATCGAAAATAAAAGTGATCGGAAAGCCAGCTATCGTTATGATTTTCAAAGTAGACAGCTAAGTTTTTTAATTCTCGATAAAGTAAGCCTTGATCATCTAGATATTATGATTGATAAAAGATAATTTATGGCAGTATTTAGTGGCTTATACAATAATAGTTTCTGTATTTCGCGGATATGAGAGTTGGAATTTAAAATAATACTATACCATTTCTTTCTGCATCCTCAGCGCGGCATAATTTTTCGCTTAAATAGCTTAATTTCTCGTGTTCATCCTTAAGCAAAGGTGTCAATGTAGCAATAATGTCGTCGCCGAGAGCTTCTCGCTCTTCCTTTTGTCGGTTAATTAACTCGAATATCTCAGCGAATGCTCTGTGGTAACCTTCTTTTAAAATATCCATGCATAAATTGTGCATGTAATCGTTGCGATATCTAGGGATAAAAGTAGTTTATACCGTTATTTTGGATTATCTGACTCATCTTTTTGGGTTAAAGTATCACTATATCGTTACAATGAAGAAAAATCACTTTTTCTAAGGTAAGTTTAAAATTTTGGCTAAACGAAATATTATTTAAAAGAAGTATCAAAACCAAATTATCTTAGGTTGGTTATGGCGTAAAATTGAAATGGGATTGATTATGTACATTTTGAAAATAAGTTGTTGTATAAACGCATGAAAAATGAAATAATTACATGTGCAACAGTTTTGAGATTCATAGTTAAATAATAAAATCAACTACAACTTCGGATAGTATAAGCTAACAAATTTAAGCAATATAAATGAACCTGGCAACATCGATCTTTTTGTCGTAGGTTTCCTGTACTACTGGATGTTTTTGTTTCTTTTGCTTGTTATGACCGTTAATTGGCCTTATGTTTCGTGTACTTCGATTGATTGTATTTTTATGGGGTGGTGTTGTCGGAGGACTTGGCTTGATATTACTTTTGCCTAAATTTGGATCTATCATAGGCAAGATATTAGTCGACGACATCTTGACTCTTCTTATTACTGCTTTCTTTTTAACTATGCAATTTGGGCTGTGTCTCCTCAAAAGCCTAAAGGTGGCTCTGTATACAAGATACCTATCGCCTTTGCCTACTAAACGACCGCGTTATTGTATAGAATTCTTTGCTATCCCCATATCAATTTATCTAACTCCATGAATTACTGATTTGTATCTTATCGAAATTCAATCAGTATCCATAGCAACCTTCTCATGATTGATTGTGCATGCGTCGATAGAAGTCCATCGAGCGTGGTCTTAAGACTGCTCTACTACGCAAATCATGCGCCGCGTTCGAATATTTCCTTATGCAATACTGCATTAGAGAGTGGATAATACCTGAGAATAAGCACGCTACCGAGACTATCTATAACTTGCATATTTCATTAAGTGTTTTTGTAGCAAATTATAGAAAAAGTGAAACATTCTACTTAAAGTACTGGCATAGCCGGTTAAAGCCCAAAATTCCATTATATTTGTTTTTGATTTGGACTTTAACTGGCTATTACACATCATAGCCGAGTTTAAGCTAAATCATATATTGTATGTATACGGTAGATTTGAGTATTAAAAACACACCTTATAAATAATAATGCCTTAATTTAAAAAAGGTATTGGTGAGTCGAATAATGTTATCAACTTTAGTACTAATTGATATAGTGCTTGATGGACAACTGAGTTGCTAAATGATGCATAATTTAATATTGAGTACTCTCGTGGCTAAGATTTTATTTCAAGTAGACATCAGTAAAATCGATAATAATAATTAATAATCAATAATATTTGATATAGTGTAATTTCGGGGAAATAGAGTTGAATAACTCAGGACTAATCTGATTTTTAACGTTTACTGAATAGGAATCAAGAACGATATATTTCATTGAATGATACTGATTATGTTTTCTATTCTTATACTTTGTAACACCAAAGCAAACACTCTAATATCAGACTTGATAAATAAAATATTTAGTAAATGCCAATGAGCTGACAGTTGAAATGAAGATTGTTAGATCCGACTAAAAGAGAAAATACTGATATCCTGCTGGATAGTTCGCTCAGTTATAAATCCATTTTAAATCAAAATTGGCGAAGTATAACATCATCCATCAACAGCACTATCAGATAGTTTCATGTGGCATTACGATACCCCTTTTAGGATAGATCAATCAATTGATAAAGTATCGTTATGATACAGTTAAGTTCGAGTAGATGTTCGTCTACATCTACATAAGTATATTGTACTTACTAGTATTTAAAAATTAAAAATCATCATGACCCATTTGTAGCATAACACATATTTTTTCATAATACGTTTTTTACATATTGTAGATGACCTTCCTGTATATACTACACAAATGGCATTATTAACATAATTAATTTAACCGATGTAAAAAGACAGGCATGGAAAGCAACTGTCAGCCATTAGATAAGTGGTGACACTATATCGTCCTTTTATAAGAGGTCAATCAACACTATAGCTCATTTCTTGACAATGTAAGTTAACAATATTAAAGTGATGTTGATTAGTATGCAGCAAGATATGAGTGATCTAAAGTTCGTGTACATAGCTATGCAAGGATAAAATGAAGGAATATTTCCCAAGAGAGCTGTTTATAATTCTTGTAAATGCGATTCTAATTCGTCTAGATCATAACACATAGGACCTGGGCCACCTTTATAGCTGATTTTACCATCTCTAATCACGTACAATCTCTCAGGCGTTGCACTATATTCCTTTGCCATGGTATCTTTGATATCATCCACATAAACGGGCAATTTAATGTCGAATCGATCAATAAACTGCTTTGCGAGTGACATCCGCTCTTCAAGGACTCTTGGTTTCTTGAAAGACACATCCATACTATCGTTTAAATAATCTAAGGGCCATTCGTCAGATGCGTGCGCTTCTTTAATATAGATTAAGATAAATTGTGCTTTATCGGCGTATTTTTTTCCCATTTCATGAAATCGCTGTAGCAGATTGCGATACGGGGGTCAGCTATAAGACCCAAAATTCAAGACAAAAGTATCCGTTTGAAATTGTTGAAAAATTTCTTTTAAATTAAGCATTTCCCCCTGGATGGAATAGAGTTGACCAAGTGGTGCAAGATGATTAGGCTTTAATCTCCCAATACATGGTAAGCAACCGTCCTTGGTGAAATTGATAAACGTTTGTTTGGATAAACTATGAATAAAACCGGGACTGCCATCTGTTGGTTCTAATGTCTTCAAATACTTTGATCCTTTCCGAAGCTGTTTGGGATAGTGCCATTTAATCAGCATTCCACTTTTAGCGAATAAGAATGCGCCATAAAAGGCTAAGCACCATGACCAGAGCCAGGATAGGGGATTGGCCATTATCCAGTAGAAACGACAGTAATCAAATTGTCCGCTGCTGTATTCTTCGGCTACAAGCGGTCCGTGACCACTGATTGAGTATCCTTAAAATGCACTCTTGCTGCCTGTAATTTAAGTCTATTGATAGATATCGTAAATATTAGAGCTATCATTATAATTAGTCAAAATCAATAATTTTACTGACTTTGTACTCTGGGTATTCTTAAAATGCACTCTAGCTGCCTGTAATTTAAGTCAATTGATAGATATCGTAAATATTAGAGCTATCATTATAATTAGTCCAAGTTAATAATTTTACTGATTTTGTACTCAACATGATTAATTAATGACATCAATGAGTTAATTGATTGATGATGGCATTCAACCATGATACCACCGGCAATATCGTCTACGATACGATATTATAGTAGTCTAATCCTTCCGCTAGATACGACAAATAATGCGTTTCAACTGCTTTTAAGCTGTATTCAGGGTAGACGAGAGGGTCTACAATTACGATTACACTGTCTAAATGGGTGTATATCTCATTTGAAAGTAATCACATCAATGTTATAGGCACTAGATTGATTGATAAGTTGATTAGAGGTACAATTGAAATTTCGCAGATCTTTCTGCATATAGTACAGTACAGTACAGTAGTCATTTTACATCATAAGTGATTGACTACAGGCCGAGCGGATATGATGACGGGCTCATTTCAGTCATCATTTCATTTCAATTGACTGATTCTTGATATCTTAATTAGGAAAACGTACCTTGTACTGATTTGATTGCCGGTCTGCAAGTGCAAGGATAACGATTGAAGAAAGGATATGCTCTGTAAGTCAACATGTAAACAAAGTCGAGCTGTAGAGTGCAAAGTACATGTACGGTACAGTATTGTATTAGGGGTAAGAAGTTGTTCTTCCATGAAAATCAAAATTGATTTTCATCAAGAAACCCGTAGTATAGTCATGATGCATGATGGTACTGTCCGTGTTAATCAAATGCTGTATTCGACAGTAATTCTCTGATTTAGAGTCGGAAGCTGAACATTTTACTGGTCTTTGGTTTTGACTGTCAGCTGCTAAAAGGTCGAAGAGATTTGGCGGTCATTTTACTATGCCCCACAAACTCAAAGCAATCTTTTGCAGCGAATTTACATGCCAATTGCAGACCGTATAGTGTACCGTTGTAGACATGCGATACAGTCGAAATGATCAATTTTAGTATTGTCAAGCCCGCTTTGCATCCCTCTCTTTCTTTCTTTTTAGTACAGTAGTCCATGGGCAGAAAAATCATGGACTACTCCATCCAAATTTTCCACCGCCGTGCATCAAAATTGTCACCCCACCGTAAAAATAGAACAAGGGTTTGTAATGCTAGGGGTGACAATTTTTATCCACAGGAAATTTTTGATTGAGTAGTCCTCGGTAAAATTAACAGTAGTCGTTTTACCATGGACTTCGAGAAACGAGATTTTATTCTCTCTTATTGATTGATCTTGTACCACTGACTCTCCACCTTTGGTAATTCTAGTTTACTTTCTATTGCTGAAACAGTTCCTAACAGGTAGTAAAATAGAATGGGGAATTTACTCAAATAGCTCGCTTTAAAACGGTAAAATAGAATTCCAAAATGCCGGCGACTACAGTGTACAGTGTACAGTACTTTACTGTCTACTCTAACTGTTGATCAATGCAGCTGACATTGTGTACCGTAACGGTACTAGCAGCCGCCACAGCGTGTGTTGGGGCCAATGACGTCATAGTTCCCTTACTGATACAATAGTCAACGACACCCCTTGCTGTATCAGCGACAAGAACCGCGATGGTGGATTGGTTCGGGTACAGGATGGACAGACGGTAGAACCGTGTCATACGCACATCCGAGACTGTGCAGTGGCCAGTCTAAATCAAGACTTTATGTCTACCAGTGTGCACAGTTCAACAATAATAATAACATGGATCGCAGAATATTGCCAACCAATTAATTAAGCTAATAAACTTGTAGTCAAAAGTCCGTAGAAGGCAGTAGTCGAGCTATTTCCGTCTTTTTAGTCTACGACACCACTTGCTGTATCAGCGACAAGAACCGCGATGGTACCCGGACCAATCCGGGTACAGGACGGACAGACTGTGGAACCGTGTCATGGTCACGTTAGCTAAGCCAGTGAGCCACTTGACCCATCCGAGACTGTGCAGTAGGCAGTCTAAATCAAGACTGTACGTCTACGAGTGTGCACACTTCCATAATAATAATAACATGGATCGGAGAACATTGCCAACCAATTAATTAAGCTAATGAACTTGTAGTCAAAAGTCCGTAGAAAGCGGTAGTGGAGCTATTTTTGTCTTTTCGTTGTGACTGTTCATTAAGTGAAGACTACATTAATTAGAAGAAAGAGCCTGAAAAGGCAACTACAACGCAAGCTTGTGCTTCCGTTTGAGGGAAAAAGTGATTGCTACTTACTTTGGTAGCGCGTCTACAGTACAACGGATTGCATCGACGACTTGATTTAGAATTGATTATTGTGCCATGGAGATCGAGAACAACATCACTCAAAAGATCCTGGTTACCATCACTGGAATGACTTGCAATTCTTGTGTCAAATCGATCCAGGGCAACGTGGCTACCATGAAAGGTCTTGAAAGCATCAAGGTTAGTGTTTTGGAATCGTTTTTAGACGGTACTATCCAATTGCGATCGTGGCAAGTTAACCGTTATCATGCTCAATTGTTCACCCTATCTTACGGATTGAGCAAATGCTTTCTATTCAACATGTTGATGGATAGCCAAGTGAGAGGAGAAATTTCAATATGTCATGACCGCTATCCTACAGTAACGTCGATGTTTAGCTTCATGGTTAGAATAATAGGAATCATCCAATCTTGTCGGCATCGTGAGTTACTCTAGTCGATTCAACGAGTGCATCGATAGCCACATCCAATGCTTCCATTCAACACCTTCAGTTATAGGCAGTGTTGATTAGGTTGGTTGTCATCATCACCATCCAATCTTGTCGGTATTGGGATTGGATTGAATAACACTTTGATCGATAGTCACGTTAGAGTGGAAATCCAATACGTAGTAACCTATATCCCATAGTAACATAGAGTAAGAGTATTATTAATATTACTATCAATTAATCGATACCGATTGGACTGGCTGTAGCGATATCCATCATCAAGTGTCGTCCTACTTTAGGAAATGGTTAGGCGATAATCTCAACTTTACCGTATTCGCATGGGCAAAAAATGACTAAAAATGACAATATTGTACTGTATACGTATAACATGTATAGTTGAGCAAGTATAGTATACTTGAAAAAAAAAAGCCCGCTGAATGAATTCGTTATGATACAACCATTCAAAATTAGATTGAAAATGGCCATCATCAGTTGCTATGAATCGATGATTGGCAAGTACAGTAAATAGCAATTAGACGAGTATAGAATATAATCAGTCCAACAATTGGTTGAATCGCTAAATTTTTCATTAAACATGGAGGTAATAATGAAACACTCATGGGCAACGTTACTTGTGCATTAGTGGAATACAGTAGTTGTGACTTTTTTCATCAATATACGATTGCAATCATGGTAATAGTTTTGACTCGATCAAGTAATTAATTCATAGACCAACGAGTCAGTTCTAATTCACTTTACTACGTTGAAATTGACATCAATTACAATATTGACCGTCCATCTCGTATACGATAGACCATCATCAATGATTCACTTCAAGTTTACCACCTAAGAATTATTCTAGTCAGGATTAACTTACCGTTGACGATCACATCAATTTGTTGTCATGTCATGTCGGAAAGGAGCTTTTTTTTCGGGGGGGGGGGATAGGATAAATCGATTGTTCCCAGGACTGACAATGTTTACCAGTCAATCAAAAAATCTGTTAATCAATATTATGCAATTATTTTTTAATAGGTCTCACTAAGTCAAGAAGAAGGTGAAATTGCCTACTTTCCTCATCTCATTGATTATCGTGCCATTATCAATGAAATTGAAGATATGGGCTTTGATGCCAAATTAAAATCCAACCGAATTGATTTACAACTTAAGCTTCAGCCTTTCTCTTTTGACCGGAACCAATTAACACAAAATCTAATGGAAATACATGGTGTAGAAAATTGTAGCATCAATGATGAATTAAATGCTCTCATCATACGCTATAATTGTGACTTATTACAATCACATCGCATTCTTATCGATTGCTTTAACAAATTAATGACTATGAAATCAAATGATAGTCATGATAATTCACCCAAGCAAGCTAGCTTAGCTGTAGTAAGTGTTATTGGAATGACTTGTAACTCATGTGTTAAATCCATCGAAGGAACATTATCTGATATGAATGCGATCAAATTTATTGGTGTATCGCTTGAAAAGAAACAAGCTACAGTTCGATATGACAGTAAAGAAATGACAGAAAGAGATATTGTCGAAAACATCGAAGATATGGGATTTGATGCTACCATTTTACAGGTTTGTCAAGCCAAATGACAATAGCTCTTTCCTAATAAGATCGAATGAACATTATCTGAATTTAGTGAATAAAAAGTAAATAAAAATTCTATAACAGGAGTTTACTCATCAGATCTATTCTTATTCTATTTTCTGTAAAAAAACAACAGCTATTGCTGTTATAGTAAATTGCTAGATGTAGATCGGAAATACTCTTACTAATACATTTCTATCGTACAGTACTACTAATTATTCAGCTAAGAATAATGTACTTCTCCAATGGCATCTAATATTGTCATAATCAATCCGCCAACTTACAGTATTGGAATATGCCCATTGATTGACACGGAAACGATGATGCTTTGTAGTAGCCACGTCATAATGTTTAATGGAAATAGTTTTTTAAGCTGTATTCTTGGATACTACTCCACAGTCTATGCTGCAGCTAATGTTTAATTTCCTAATTTATCAACTCCATTTTCATCCTACCCAATCAAAATACACATATGCGTGAACACTTTCAGCGTCATCAATATTGCTGCAACGATTTTAAAAGCAACATTATCCTTTTAGTTTAACTTTGAAATCAATCCATCTATTTTCTAATCCTGAATCATCATAAAAAACATAATTAGAATAGTAGACAAATTTTTTTTTTATCTATTTCATTATATAGACCGAAACTAACAATGTAACATACACTGTGATGGAAATTGAAGGAATGAGTTGTAATTCTTGTGTGCAACACATTGAAAGCACTGTCATCGATCTACCTGGTATTTACTACATTCGTGTTTCACTACAGCAACGCAAGGCCGATATCTTTTATGCTCATGGTCATGTTACTGTTGCACAAATTTCTGAAGTTATAACTGACGCTGGATTTGATGTAAAGATTAAATCGGATGAAAACAATATCAGTGGTACGACGGTTAAAATGATCTGCTTATAGTTCAATAAAATATTACTAAACAGAATATGTAATCGTAGAATCGGGTTGTAATAACAGTGTAGCCAATTCTTACCAAATCAATTTCTCTAACTTTCATCATTTGACAGGTAACTCGTCAGACTCATCCCTTAGCGCAAATGGGTCAGATAATGAACCTAAGAAAGTTGCAACCGTTGAAGTCTCGACGACTTCTGTTATACTTGGTGAAAACGAGGCACTTCATTATATCAGTAAATCACATCAATTTAACCAACGAAAGCATCAATCTAATGCTGGCAAAAGCATCAATATTGATAACACACTTGCAGCAGCTATGAAGTCTGTTCAACTCTCTATTACTGGTATGAGCTGCTCTTCTTGCGTTGCTAACATTGAACGTGAAATTAAGAAAAAGAAAGGTTAAGTCTTGATTCGATTCATCGTGGAAGTGTTAGCCAGTATATGTATCATAAAATTCATTACACTAATTTCCTGAAAGTTTTCTGACAAATCAATCGTTATATGCATGTAGGTATCATTTCCATAGCAGTAGCACTCTTAGCTGAAAGGGGCGAAGTTACCTATGACGCAAACGTAACCAATCCTGAAGCTATTGTAAACGACATTACCGAATTGGGCTTTGGAGCGATAATAATCTCATCAGGAAATAATTCAAATAGAATCGAATTATCGGTAAGAAAGCTGTTGTACTACGACCAACGGGAAAATACGTATGCTATATTGAATGGCCCTATTCCGGATATATTTTCAGATTGATAATATTGTTAGTCCCTCTTGCATTGATCATGTTGAGAGCTATTTTCGAGATCGTCCTGGGATTATTTCTGCAAGCGTATTTTTATCGTCAGCAAATGGTGTTTTTGAATATGATGCTTCTGTTACTGGAGTGAGAGATATCATTCGTGCATTAAATGTAGGTTTCATACAAAAATTTTTCAAATTATATCTACTATTTGTAGCATCTTGATAATATTAATAACCCTATTCATTTACTCCTACTTTTATGCTGCCTTGTGATTATAACAGGAACTTGGTTACCCTGCATTACTTGCTACGAAAAATGATGCCTCAAAACAATTTAATCACCATAACGAAATTAAAAGGCAATGCTACTATTACTAAATTGTACATCAGTAATTCTTTTAGAGAAATTTATTATCTTTAATTATCTAAATTCGGCTGGCTAGAAAGTTTTCTTTTTAACAATATATATAATTTCTAATTTCCAGATGGAGGAATACTTTCTTTTTTTCGCTTATATGCTTTATACCGGTCGTTGCAATCTTGGTAACATCCGCTGCCTTGAAAAGTGATAGTAAGCCAATGATAATTTTTCCAGGACTATCGCTTAAAAACCTTTTACTTCTTATAGTGGCGACTCCAGTCCAAGTAAGCTCTGTAGCTTGTTTATATAGTTTCCTGTTACTGTTGGTGATAAATTTATTGAAGACGATGATAAGATTACAAATCTCTTTCCGACTGACGATCATTTATTTACTTGATTTTGCTCATGACTGGATAGTTAATCGGCTGCAAACAATTTTACATCATGTCTTACAAAGCTCTTAAGCACCGTTCAGCAACAATGGATGTTTTAATTGTGATGGCTACGACAATTGCATATTGCTACTCGGTGTGTAGTTTAATATAACACTTCCGAAGCACAGTTCTGATACTGTCATATTTCTTTATCCCAACACTCTAGATTCTGTAATGCCTCATCTATAATTTACTATTTTTCATTCATAGGTTACTGTAATTATCGTTGCTGCGATATTACGACCAGATAGCAGTCCACTCACTTTCTTCGAAACGACACCGATGTTGGTTACCTTTATATCGCTAGGTCGTTGGCTCGAGCATAGAGCAAAGGTACACATTTACATCTGTTGTGTAAACCAGTATAACATAATAATTCGACGTCATGCCTTATACTCTAAGCTTGTAGTGAACTACAATGTAACGGAAAAGGTGATTACTGAGTCTTGTTGGAAGCACTGTACTTTTATGATAGCATTGCTTGCGTGATGTATATTTAATAAAATAGACAGTAGAGACGACTATGTGAACGCTTATTGTCATGTTAAACTAGTATACATGATATTCTTGTTTTAGTACAATGCTGTATATTTTACACCGTACACTCTGATCACTTGTGGCTCGCTTACTTATAATGTTCAAAGAGCACAATTTTACTGTATGCATTGTACGACATAATTTTAGTGATCAGTTTTAACGAAAATACTGAATTAATTGTATTCAGCGCAAGACCTCAGAAGCTCTTAGTAAACTACAATCTATGCAACCAACTGATGCAATTTTGGTTGAACTGGATTTTGATAACCAAGTCATCAAGTGAGTCTGTCTTTCGCATATGTTGGTTCTGAAATGAATTAAGCGTTACTGTAATAAAATGAAATTGTGTTTTTAATATTTCAAAAATGTTTCCCATTTCTCCACTAATTATAACAACTGAATCATTAAAGAGAAGAGAATATCTCGGTTAACTACATTCATCAAGGTGATAATTTAAAAGTACTACCCGGAGCTAGAATCCCAACGGACGGTTATATTTTAGCAGGGTCATCTATGATTGATGAATCTTTAATTACTGGAGAATTCATGTCCGTATCTAAAAGTAAAGGAGATATGGTTATTGGTGGAACAATCAATGAATCTAGCGTGCTGATAATGAAGGCTTGTAGAGTTGGCGTCGATACAACTCTTTCTCAGATCGTCCGATTAGTTCAGGATGCTCAAACTTCTAAGGCGAATACTAAAAATGGTTGATTTCGAAATTTCTAACGAATTTAGCTATAATTAAAATATTTGAAATTTTTATGCAGGCCCCAGTGCAATTGTTAGCAGATCGAATAGCCGGCTATTTTGTTCCTGGAATCATGTTACTATCTCTAATAACATTAATTACTTGGATTTGTATTGGATTTGGGAACGTGGCCATTATAAATCCAGATATTGGCGTAAGTTTAGAATTACGATTATTAGCATCTTAATTCAACTATGTCATTGATTGTAGACCCTGACATTTGTTTATATGATTAAATAATACATTCGATTGCTCACTTTTACGTACTGAATTAGATCAATGAATATAATAAAACAGAAATCGTTGTGGAGTTTGCATTCTTATGTTCTATAAGTGTACTTGCGATAGCTTGTCCGTGTGCCCTTGGTCTAGCTACACCTACAGCAGTCATGGTGGGAACTGGTGTAGGTGCACAATTAGGGGTGCTTATCAAAGGTGGATTGCCATTGGAGATCGCTCATAAGGTTGGCTTTGAATAAATGAAAATAAACATCGGCTATGACAGTACTTACGCATGCGTTTAGACTTTTAAGAGTTTTAATATTATTACTTTTGTTTAGGTTTCTGTAGTAATGTTTGATAAAACAGGTACGTTGACTCAGGGCAAGCCAAAAGTTAAAGAAGTTTTACTGGCTGATGAATCTTTAGTCGACTTTAACCGATTAGTTGCACTGGCATCAGCTGCTGAAAGCAATAGTGAGCATCCCTTAGGAACCGCTATTGTACAATATGCAAGACAGGTTTGTAATGACCTAATGAATATTTGCTTTAATTCGATTCAAATATCAATTATCATCAATCATGTTATAAATAAGGGGAATGTTTTAATATTTCTATTTACAAAACGATTCATAGAAAATTAATATATCCTATTTGGGAAAGACCAGTCAATTTGAGTCAGCGACCGGATTTGGCATACGGTGCTCCGTTGCCGAACCAAAAAATGTTAAAGGTACAATAATTTATTTAAAACGCATACCTTCCCTGCCTACATATGATATGGAATACGCATCGTATTAATAATATGTAATGACAGTAATCAATAAAATGCATAAATACTTGAAAAGCAGATCTATATCAGAGCGAGACTTCAAGCAAATTACGAGATGTGGTAATTGGTAATAGGCACTGGCTCCATGCACATAACATTAGTCTAGACTCAATTTTTAATGAGAAAGTTTGTTGGCGTGAAAGTAAAGGAATGAGCGTTGTTTTAGCTGCAGTTGACGGTACGGGATTGGTAGCTTAGCTCCACTTATACTCTGAAGGAGATTAAAAATATTATTTTGAAATTGTCTGTACAGGTCAATTGGCTGGTGCCTTTGCAATAACTGATACGATAAAGGATGATGCAAAGACGGCAATACGTAGTCTCCGCCAGATGAATATAACTGTAGTTATGGTAACTGGAGACAATAAAAGAACAGCTGATGCCATTGCCGAAGAGGTTTTACCAAATAGTAGCTAAAATATATACATAAAAATGATTTTTCGATCGATTACTGAACCACTAGTTGATCATTTTGGGTGATATTTGTTAATTACTACTACAAGATCGATATCGACGCAGTTTATGCCAACGTAAAGCCTTCCGATAAGATTGCAAAAGTAAAATCATTACAAGATAGAAATAATACGGTCGCCATGGTAGGTGATGGTATCAATGATTCGCCTGCATTAGCTCAAGCGGATGTTGGAATTGCCATTGGTAGCGGTACGGATGTAGCCATAGAAGCCGCTGATATTGTTCTAGTTAAGGTTCGATTGCATTTTGTTTATCTGCTTCATTTTAAATTATAGAAGTTATGAACCAAGCTACTTACTAATGTAACTTTTATGTTGTCTAGGATAATTTGATGGATGTTGTTACTGCAATTGATTTATCCCGAACAACATTGAAAAGAATAAGGTGGAACTATTTTTTCGCAGTTATTTATAATATCATCTGTATACCGACGGCAGCAGGTGTTTTCAAACCACTTGGATTTGTCATTCATCCGTGGATGGCTAGTGCCGCTATGGCAGCATCTTCAGTTTCGGTTGTTTTGTCGTCATTGTTACTAAGAAGGTAATACAATTCAGATTAATGCTGTCGTAGATACATTAATAATAAGTATTTTATATGATAATCTGTATCAATAAGTTATTGATTACTTCAAAAAAAGATGTTAAAGTCTGCTAGCTTGAGGTAACGATAGTCATTGATGATGTGGAATCATTTTTCTTAAGGTATAAAAGGCCAGTCGATAGAACAAAGTTCTCTAAAAAATGGGATTCAAGTACTCACTATCGTTACTCGAAGTTGCTCAAAGCCAGTAATAGAAATGCTACCAACTATGGCAGTGACTTGTCAGATAACGATGATGACCAATCGACAGCACCAACGAAACAATTATTAAAGGTTTAAAAGTTATTTAAACCTTACTAAAATTTATCACTACAGTTGGTTTTAATAACCAGATATATTTACTATCAAGCATTGCCTTTATATGGAACCGATAATATTTTGTTTGGATATATTAATAAGATTAAGAGGGTCAAATGTTAAACTTTGTTTCTTAAATTCATTTAAGATTATACTTACTAAGAATTTAATCTTTATTTCGATGATTATAAATACATATTGTTCAGTACAAATATTTAATATACCGATATGTAGATACTATGATATTTTAAGACTATATTTTGTAAAGAAATCTGCTTAAAAATGGCTACATACCATTCTTATTGATTGATGCTCAGCATTGAAATGACAACGATATATTAATCGATAATAAGTATACATTCGTCGAAAGTTCCTAGTTGCAACACAGGTAGACTCGATCAGTTTCAAGTTATAGATAACTATTTAGAATACAATTCTATTTACGAGAGAATTTACGTTTTATATATTGCATGTGAAAAATTTATGAAAGACGTTGATGTAAATGCATGCCCGTGTTGTCACGTATAGTTTATCTTCATGTATCATCCCCTCTGTAGAAATTAACCTATAGTTATCTTATACCAGCAGTCTCTTGTTGTATGAAAGAGAAATAATAATCCTCTATAAATCAATGTAGTGATATATAAAATATATTTAATGAAGATCCGTCATATTATTTCATATAACAGCAATGCCGTTGTGATAACGTATCTTCTCAAAAATACAACAAGAACTACAGTTTCTTGTAAAATTCGCTGTATTACACAAGATTAGGTTCATCTCATAACTACCAAGGACTATCTAACTGCAATCAGACTAACCTAGCGTACAATTTATTAATGTTTGCATTATTCCATAATGTTAGTCTCAAGCTTATTTGGGGCTTCACTACAGCAGTGTATATCGAAATGGGCATGTCACCAACTGTACTTGTATGTTGTAGTCATGAATCACTCTAGCAGATAGTACAAAGTTACTGATTAATTATCACTCTTTCCTTATTATGGCTACTCCACCTAGTGCCAAAGTTAACAAAATGTCGCTATTCCGTATGTAATAATGTTACTGTAAGGGCAATACAGCTTAACTGCATTAGCTGCCATGATTGTTGACACCTTTTACCCTTGAAATCTTTCTGAAATCTACGACGCCCTAATCGTCGATTACATCATAGTGGACTGATTTGAATACCATAAATATAATTTATATTCGGTTGTAACAACAGCTATTATAAGCGTTAATACCATTTATCTTGGACTCCATAGCTTGGTAATTTATTATTTTTGCTACTGCTAAATATATAGTTCCTAGTATATTTACTTTAATATGTAAATATACACAGAACTCACAAGCATTAATATGTCCATTTCATGAAAAGACCTATCACAACCGCTATATATCACTTTTATTGACGTTAATAAAACGTCATAAAAATCAGCTAATAAAGATGGGTATAGTATGATCAATAATAAAAAAGATAGCAATTTCAACCATCTATTTGCCATCAATACGTAGATATGTTGGCAATTTTAAATTTCAAAATGTGTTTTGGATCATCATTGGATACGATTAACCCAGATTTTAAGCTACCATAGTCCAGCAAAGTATTTACAAACATATGATTATGCCGTGATAAGGCAGTTTTAATTAATCTCATTAGCATACTATAAAACAACCCTGACTTAAACTGAATGACGGCGAATTTTCATTCGATATACTGTAATAATATCGAGAGTTAACAGGCGCATCCCCGTAGTCTATCGTCTACCGTTTACCGCGTCCGTCCAAATTAGAATTTATGCATGAAATTATTTTTTCCATTGTGACGAAATCAGCATTAATAAATAAATAAATTGGCCTATAGTATCCTACTGTTTCTAATTCCCCTATTGCTTAGCTACTGATTCGCCGCAGGCTACATACGACTCAATCCGTATTTTGCTCTCGCCGCTAATTATTTTTTGGCAATCAGGTCGTGATAACCTTTCATCATCCTCTTATTTTGTTTTTCCTACGCTACCTCTTTTAGTTAATACAGTAGCTGACTATTGGTGTTACATTTAAGCCTAAAATGGATAATACGCAAATAACCCAACATATACTAGTAAGTATCGAAGGAATGACATGTAATTCCTGTATTAGATCTATCCAAGGAAATATTGCCGAAGTCAAAGGCCTTGAAAGTATTAAGGTATTTATTACAAAGTTAGAAGTAATTGGAATAATTCCGCAAATAAAAACTTTTATGATAAATGAATCAATAATCCTTTCATTTCGTTAGTTTAAAGCATAAAACTATGTATTTCCGGTAACGTGGATCAAATTCTATCCTATCAACAGCTAGTGTTCGAGTTGTGAATTCAGTTAATAGATGTATCAGTATCTGTATAACAATTTGATAGAATTCTCGAAAACATCGACAGTAATTTACGTCGAGATTCAATTTATTTTTATACATATCGTTTCTGAGTATGATTTTAATGAAGTAGTCCTTTCTAGATCAATCCTAACAGATCTCTTAGTGTTGAGTTCATGTAATTTATAACAGCTTATACAGCATCGTTATAATTTTTAAGGTTATGTTAATCCATACTTTTTAGCTTAAAGTCCACAATCTGAATATCTTTCTATCATTTCATCACTTCGCGTAATCAATTTCTTAGCAACGATTGATTTTTCTATTAAACTCTTCAATTATTACGCTATAGCCAGTTCAATCATCTTTTGAAATGATTTATTAGATATCCTTAACGCAAGAAGAAGGAGATATTGTCTATTTTCCTCATCTTATCGATCATCATCAAATCATAAATGAAATCCAAGATATGGGTTTTGGTGCTCAACTAAAATCCAATCTATTCAATTTACAGCTCAATCTTCAGACATTACCTGCTGATTATGACCAATTAATAAAACATCTAATGGAAGTCTCTGGCATAGGAAACTGTTACATAGATGAGAAGTTAAATGCTCTTATAGTACGATATAATTACGATTTATTGAACTCTCCCAGTCCCATAATAGACTATTGCAACAAGTTTACTACTATGAAAACCAAAGAAAACGATAACAGCAATCTATCGAAGCGAAATGATGTAGCAGTATTAAATGTTACCGGAATGACTTGCCATTCATGTGTGCAATCTATCGAAGGAACATTATCCGACGTAAAAGCGATCCAATTTGTTGGGGTGTCACTAGAAAAGAATCAAGCCGTAGTCCAATATGACGATGAAGAAACAACTGCAAATGATATTGTAGAAAGTATCAAAGACGTAGGATTCGATGCTAGTATCTTACAGGTATGTTGTTCATAATACTGTAAAAATGGCTAAGTATCTGTACTAGTTCTGCAAGAGCAAGCTATAGTCCGATATAATGATAGGGAAATAATTGCGAGTGATATTGTAGAAAGAATCAAAGACATACCGGTAGTTTACGAATAGAATATCGTATAGTATTCACGATAGTGTAGAAATTTGAACTAGTTCTACTAGTTACGCAAGAAGATTGCTACTCTTTTACTGTTATACTACGGTCTTGACATTTGAACAATCATGGATTAGTTTACCGCCGCAGGAAAGTATGACATGTAAAATAGAGATTAGATTTTTATATATTACTTGCTACAATCTTTTTAAATGCTATTTTATAGACTAAAATAACGATGATCAGTATATTGCTAAGATTCAAGTCAATTTTTTGTAGTATATTAATCTACGTGTATAACGCTAATAGAGAAAAATATTTAGCTTAGGATTCGAGATTTATCGATCATGTTTGCTATATAAATACAAGTAGATCTGCCGGTATAGCGCTAGTAGAAAAGTAGTTAACTTAGGATTCAGGATTTATCGATCATATTTTTGCTTAAACACAAGTAGAATTTAATATTTCTTATGAAAATTATAGTATCAAAAAAATTGACTAAGATTAAGCCATTTGTAGATTAATTACAGTTTGTTCTACATACTTAACGATTTTCATTGAGCTATTTTTACCGCAATTACTAAGTTTGTGACTTCATTTTGATCCTTCTATAGTCGGAATCCAAGATGGCTCGCTATATCGCTGTAGATATCGATGGAATGACTTGCAATTCTTGCGTTAATCACATCCAGAGCTGCGTTCTGGAGCTAGCTGGCATCCATTTTATCCGCGTTTCTTTACCATTACACAAAGCTGATATCGTCTTTGATGGTAATATTATAGCTCAACAACAAATTCTAGACATTATCAACGATACAGGATTTGATGCAAGCCTGATGGTAAATGCAGCAGTAGCTCAAAATAATGGTAAATAAATCTTCTCACAATTTTCAAGTGATTCTACTTTGTTTACCCTACTTAATTCGTAATATAATTTTAAATTGTATGGACTCATATTTATATGAACAATTCTTCACATTATCCTTTAAATAAATAGCATCCAATACCACCAATTCATCTAATTACCTTAATGACAAATCAAACAATAAGAATTTAAATAATGTAACTGAGCAAAAAAAAAAACCAGTTGATGAAAGTAAAATCGATGTCAGCAAGAATAATTCAGAAAATTTCCAGGATGACTGTCATAAAGCTCCTAGAATAGATAAAGATCGAGATAAAGATCAAGTTATTGAATCAAAATCAATCCAGTTATCCATTAAAGGCATGACTTGTTCGTCTTGTGTCGCAAATATTGAGCGGGAAATGAAAAAAAAACAAGGTAATACTCAAGATGACTAAATTGCCTTATGAGGTATCCTTTTTACATCACCATTTGTAATTTTTCATCTCATGAATTTTATAGGAATAATTTCCGTTTCCGTGGCTCTGCTAGCGGAACGAGGAGAAATTAAATATAACTCTAACTTAACCAATGGCGAAAAAATCATAGCTCATATATCAGAATTAGGTTTTGACGCATCGATTCTACGACACATTAATGCCTCTAACCAGGTAGAATTACAGGTAAATGAATTATAAGTAGGACCTCTTGGCCATGATTATCATATGTGCATGTATAATATACGAGTATTTATGCAAAAATACTGATTTAGAAAATATTCTGTAACTCATTTATTCGCCGGATCATAGCAGGTTAAAATGTTAAAAGTAGAATTTGGTTCCAATTTTAGATTGATCATATTATCGGCCAAGAAAGCATTGAAGATATTGAAAGCACATTCCAAGAGCTTACAGGAGTTACAGTTATATCAATTTCTCTTGAATTTAAAACTGGAATATTTGAATACGATCCTTCCATTACTGGAGTTCGTGACATCATTAACCTGCTAAAAGTTAGTTGGATCGGAATTAGATACTTAATTCACGATAGTAAAACTAATAGGCCAGTGAATTAGATCAATCTATTTGAACGTGCAAAAACCTAGTTGGATCTAAAGTAGATGCTAAATTTATGATAGTAAAACTAATATGCCAGTAAATTAGATCAGTTTAATTTAAGTTGCTAAAAGCCAGTTGGATCCACAGTAGATGCTACATTTATGATAGTTAAAGTAATAGGTCAGTGAATTAGATCAATCTAATTGAATGTGCTAAAAGTCAAATTGGATCTAAAGTAGATGTTACATTCACGATAGTAAAACTGATAGGCCAGTGATTAGATCCATCTAATTGAAGGTATTAAGAGTCAGTTGGATCTAAAGTGGACGTTATGATCATAATATTAAAATTATTAATAGGCCCAGTAATTTGATCATATAATATAATATAACGTGCTAAACGTCGGTTCAATCTAAAGTAAAATACTAAATTCATGATAACAAAAGTAATAGGAAAGTAATCAATCAGGTCAATCAAATTCTATATTCTGCATTAATATTACTGTTGTATATAAAACAGGATCTCGGTTATCCTTCATCTCTGGCTATTAAGAATGATGTGTCAAATAAGTTGCAACATGGTAGCGTAATTAAAAAGTAAATCTCAATTACTTAAAGTCGAATAATGTATCGTAAATTAGTTTAATACTTTGTTCATTAAGCCAGAATTTTAACGTTGTAATGATAGTCTATCATCTCTTAATATCTTTCTATTTCTTTTACAATTTAGGTGGCGAAATACATTTTTACTTTCACTCATCTGCTTCCTTCCGGTTGTGACTATCCTGATAGTATGGCCTGCTTTAAAGTACGACAATAAACAAATAATCGTTGCTCGAGGACTATCGTTGAAAAATCTTCTTTTTCTTATAGTTTCAACACCTGTTCAAGTTAGTAGAATGAGGAGAATGCTTTCTCTTCTCTTCTATGAAACATTATTCTTGTAATGTTAGCGCTATATAATAAAACTAAATGATATATTCTTTGGAATTAAAATCTTTTTCTGTAGGTATTTGGCTGTAAACAGTTTTACATCATGGCATATAAAGCATTACGGCATGGCTCGGCTACAATGGATGTCCTCATTGCAATGGCAACCACGATTGCTTATTGCTATTCGGTAAAATCAAATGGAAACAAATATATCGCAATTTCCTTGTTTAATTAATACAAAGTTTTCAAACTTTCTCTTGCTATAACTGTTTGAAATAATGAATACTTCTATAAGCCAAAATTTCTTTTCTCATTAAGGTTACGGTGATTATTATTGCTGCAGCAATAAGACCCAATGAAAGTCCTGTTACGTTTTTTGAAACAACGCCAATGTTGGTGACATTTATATCTTTAGGCCGCTGGTTAGAGCATCGAGCAAAAGTAATTCGTCATTCACTTATAATCAGTTAATTATAATACAGTTAATCAACATTTCCGGTTATTTTCTATCCTTCGAGGATAAGACCTATATTCATAATTATAATTATCACGCGCCAATCAACAATTAAAATTCTAGCATCTAATCGCCTTTAAACATTGAGAAAATCGAACTTAAATTCAAACATAAATCATCATTTCAATTTTTCTGTTATTGTTTGAATTTGATGAATTTTATTTTATTAATGAATTTTACTGGTAACTCATAGAAAAAAACCTCCGAAGCACTTAGTAAGCTCCAATCGATGCAGCCTACTGATGCTATCTTGGTCGAATTGGATGACGACAATCAAATTATAAAGTAAATTGTACATAATATTTTGTATGAGTTATGAACTCGCTCAGCTAAACCTTATTTATCCTTTCTTTCAATAAAAATAGGGAAGAAATTATTTCTATTGATTATATTCAAGAAAGAGATATTCTAAAAGTCATACCAGGAGCTAGAATCCCTGTCGACGGTTTCATTGTAACGGGCTCATCGATGATTGATGAATCTCTCATTACAGGAGAATTTATGTCTGTTGCTAAAAATCAAGACGATATGGTTATCGGAGGCACGATTAATCAAACCGGTGTGCTAATAATAAAAGCAAGTAAAGTAGGTGCTGATACTACCCTAGCGCAAATAGTGCGATTAGTTGAAGACGCCCAAACATCGAAGGTATAGTAGTTTTAACAATCTCAATGAATTTGAGAACAGAACTAAATTAAAATGCTGAAGCATAAATTTTCAATTGTAGGCACCAATACAGCTTTTGGCCGATAAAATTGCCGGCTACTTTGTACCTGGCATTATACTAATATCTATCGTTACCTTCCTTATTTGGGTCTGGATTGGGTATACAAATATCCATGCCATTAAGCCAGATTTTAATGTGAGTCTTAAAGGAATGAAAATACGCCTAGCTATTATTTCCGGCGTCAGAGTTGATCGATGCCTACGCTTCATATTGATATAGAAAGTAAAAAACCATGGGAATTTTAGGCGAAATCGAATTAGATGATGTATTAGTAGAAATTATTAGAGAAAATCTTAACCTAAGGATCATCAAATGAAATTGCTTTCGGTTTATTTTAGGGGTAGAAGTCGTTTGAGATAAAATCTAGCCTTCAATTTAAAGATTAAATATATGCAGTAGATATTTTGATATAATAGAGTGTGCAGAAGCTTGATCATAAAATCATCGAGAGGAATCTGATTTGATTCCTGAGATGAAAATTTGCTATTTACGCAGCTATCTTAACTTAATGTCGTAGAAAACCCTTGAACCATGTCACCACCGTACGAAAATAACTTTGATCTATTCTATTTTGGAACTCAAAACTAGGTCCTTACGGATAATGTAGCCGATGTTGTCCTAGAATTTTCCTTTTTATGTGCTATTAGCGTGCTAGCAATAGCCTGCCCATGTGCTTTGGGCTTGGCAACACCTACTGCCGTTATGGTTGGTACTGGAGTAGGAGCTCAGTTAGGCATCCTTATTAAAGGCGGACTACCGTTAGAAATCGCTCATAAGGTTACACTGTCTCAATAATTATTACCCAAAGTGGATAATGTCATCTCATACCATAAACATCACTATCCATCTATATTAACATTTGAAATATTATTTCTTAGGTTTCCGTAGTCATCTTTGATAAAACAGGTACCTTAACACAAGGTAAACCCAAGGTGAAAGAAGTTTTATTGGCCAACAGCTTGCTTATAGATGCTAATCAGCTGATTAAATTGGCTGGAGCCGCTGAAAGCAACAGTGAGCATCCTTTAGCTCAAGCAATCGTGCAACATGCACAAAAGGTTTGTATTAGTCTTTGCAGTTGCTGGCTAATAAAGAGGTGCTTATACAAATAGGAGTAGTTCAAGCTATGACTAACTACGAGCATTCTACTCAAATCTTTCGTTACAGGAAACCAAAGAAACAATCCTTGGTAAAACTAGCTATTTCAAATCTAAAACTGGATTTGGAATAAGTTGCAGTGTAACTTTATCAGAATCGAATGGTAAAACATTAGACAGAATACTGTAGAATATCTTAGCTAAAATGATTTCAATACGTTTCATTTTCTAATTTTGCATGATGCAGTATATGTTTTTAAATTGATTGAAATTTACAGGAATATATTTTGTTATAGCTTATTTTCCAGTCAATTACAGAGCAACGTAATTTCCTATTTTCGTGTAGACGAATAACTGAACTTTAATTTTATTACAGTTAACTATAGTAAATCATACCGATTTAAAAGTATTACGGAAAAAGATCGTGATGTTATCATTGGAAACAGACATTGGATGCATGCTAATCATATTAAGATCAAAACTGAATTTCATCATAAAGTCGCAACTTATGAAAGCCAAGGAATGAGCGTTGTTTTAGTTGGCATTGATGGTGAGTATGTTGGAATTAAAGAAATGATCACAAATACTGTTACTATTTCAATTAATGAAGAATTGAAACTGCAACTGAAGCTATAAACATGGACAATAGGTGAGATCGCTGGAGCTTTTGCTATCTGTGATACGATTAAATCTGATGCAAAGGATGCCGTGCAGAATCTACACAAGATGAATATTGAAGTTATTATGATGACTGGAGATAACAGAAGAACTGCAGAAGCTATTGCAAAAGAAGTAATGTATAAATTGTATTCTTACTTTAGCTATTATAGATCAAAGTAGAATACGAATTTATTTTTAATAATATCATTTAGGTCGGAATTCAAGCAATATATGCTAATGTCAAACCAGCTGACAAAATCGCTAAAGTTAAATCGTTACAAAGTCGCAATAATGTAGTAGCTATGGTTGGTGATGGCATTAATGATTCGCCTGCGCTAGCTCAAGCAGATGTAGGAATAGCTATTGGTAGTGGTACTGACGTAGCTATAGAAGCCGCGGATATAGTTCTGGTTAAGGTTAGGCAAATTTTTCCTCGGTATTATAACCTTCTTTTAATATTCGCCTATACTGATATGAGCATGTTGCAACTAAAGTTCATTCGACATTTCATCTTCAATCAGGAGAAATTGATGGACGTTGTCACAGCAATCGATTTATCCCGAACTACCCTAAGGAGAATAAGATGGAATTACTTTTTCGCAACCATATATAATATTGTATGTATCCCAATAGCTGCAGGTGCTTTTAAGCCAGTTGGATTTGTTATACGTCCTTGGATGGCAAGTGCTGCTATGGCTACCTCATCAGTCTCTGTAGTGCTATCTTCATTGTGGTTGAGAAGGTATTACTAAACAATTTTATGATTATACACGAAATGCAATGACCAAATTATGACTTATTGCTACAATTAAAGGGTTTAAGAACAAAATATGATGCACTCTAGTAATTACCTAAGTATTCTGTTATAAATCTACAACATTGTTTAATACTATAGTTACTCTGAGAATAGCTTGTAATATATAGTCATCTCATTTCACCTCACAAATATAATTACATACTTCTACAATACTGTAAAGTATACATATCGTATGCATTGACACAAAAAAATTCCTTTTACAGATACAAGAGACCAGCAGGTACAAGATCGATTACAGAATACTGGTTTAAAGGTACCTTGGGGCGAAGTCCGAAATTAAATATACATGTAAGCAATAATAGCTATAGAAGTCTGGCTGACGTAGAGGCAGCAGATACTCAAGCCACGGAAAATTCTCAGTTGCTGTAAATATCATCCGTCATCATTTATATTTGGTTTATACGGGTATGAATGCAAGGCTTTCCAGCGAAATGGCTTACAATTTACTTCAGAAAATAGCGCTGATGTAGATTTTCATTTATATCTAAATTAAAAAAACGAATTAATAAACGTTACTTAAAAGTCGATGGAAAAGTACTTGCAGATTGATATTTTGATAGTAAGTGATGGCTAGGTCCAGGCATTAAATTTACACATATTTTTATAAATTATAAAATTTGGTTAGAAATTTTAATAGTAAAGCATTGATTCTCAATACTAGTAAACTGCGTTCCTGGAAATGAGTAAATGTACATCATGTACTGTATACTATTTCCGAATGATTATGTTCATTCTTGTAAAGAATAACTTATTCAATTTTAAAAATTTTTTAATTTGACTACTAATGTGATAAGAAAATCATCTTAACGGTTTGCGATCTCAATACTTACCGAATGTACGGAGAAGTCAAATCTATTATAAGTCAAGATCAATTTATAGAATTTTACTTCGAAATTTCGTATTGAAATAAAATATTACAATGACTAATTTAGTTTGTAACAAAGTAGAGCTTATTACTACATATTATAATCTTGTACCAGTAGCCATTGTACAGGATAGCTTTCAGGTTGATTTTATCAAACTTACAGTCTAATCTATCGCCATGTTGAATGAAAACAATTAGGTTTAGATCGAATTCTTATATTGGTTACTTTGTTACCGTTATACTTGCTTCAGAGTATTTTAGATACATTTAAGTGCGGATATATATTAATGTTTACAATAATTTTATAGAGGTAAAATTTAGATTTTACATGATCGTACACCATTCCTATAGTAGATCTTTAAATTGAGTGAAAAGAAAAATTGTGATATAAATTATGCCGTTAAGTAGAGCATAACGTCCTTATACGAGTTTCTGTTAGAGATATTTTAAAAGCAGTTGATTTCTAGATATCCAGACAATGGAAAATGGGATAGTCGATTTTGCACCTTCATTAGCACATTGTTACTCAGTATTTTATTGTAGTCATAATCATATTATTGTGTGATCGACAGCTATGCAAGAGTGATATTGCAATTTCCGTTCCAAAATCAAAGTTATTAAGAATAAATCGCCATTTTTTACCAAATTTTTGTTCTACCTCCATTCATTGAATCATTATTAGAACTGAGATATTTGCCGTTCAAATATACCACTAGAAAAAGTACCTTCTATACCATTGCTATAATCTGAATATTTACAGTATATCCATTTATATATTTTATTCGGAAATTGAATATTATGGCATGTTTATTATAATGCTGATGTGTAGCACAACGCTGCAAAATATACCCTGGGAATAAGTAAATGAATTTTGCAATTGATTAATTAATCATTTTTACTGATGAAGCATTAAAATGATAGTAAATGCAGTCATAAAGATTTATCTTAAGCAAGCATTATCACTCAGGTAAAGCTACAATTTCGCAATAAAATTGTATTGATAAAGACTAAAGATGGGAGAAAATTCAATGGTTGAAATAGGTCATGGTCGATTATGACATAAAAGAATCATAACGTACCATACGATACATACAGGCTATTATTGATCAGTTATCATATTGATACAGAAGAATAATTTCGCCACATGATTTATCTTTGAAATTTATGATAACTTTAGGCGATAAAAATCGAATTCGCTGCACAATTACATAGGTCTATAGCGTTTTGTTGATGCAGACAGTGCTTATTTTGATAAGTGCCAAGGATAACAAAAAATTTCAACAATTGGAATAGCCTATAATGGATCGCTTAAAGGCCGTGATGCTGTATTATTCTTCTTATGACAGTAAAATGAATAAATAGATACATCAACATTAAATAATCAATTTCATTTGGTGAGGGTTTATCATATAATTATTATTGATGAACTGTTATGGTGATAGAAAGAGCAATATTTCAGTTTACAAGGTTATAATACCCATCTCCACTTAATATTTTATGGCATTTTAAGCGATATAATTATGAGTAATGGATAAGAATAACAGATCAATATTCACGATTGAAATACTTTGCTATCGATAACCATAAGAAAATATACCATTAGTTGAAAATTGAACGGGGCTGAAGAGAATAAATTTTCGCATCAGCATAAAATTTTATTCTATATTAAGACTACAGCATTTTTATTTTTAGTATTATTTATTATTATTGATGAAGTATCAAGACAATAAGAAATACTACTGCAATCAATTTGACAGCAGCAGACGGTAATAATGAATAATTAACAAAACTTTTAGGAAGTGATCATTGATAACAATAAGGATTAATCTTGCAATAAGATAATGTCTCTTATCTAAGAGCTACTGCTTATTTAAATAAGGTATTGATAAAAATATAATTATTTACTACAGTAATCACGTAGTGCCATAAAGCGTGAATGATGAGGAATATTTATCTTTCCTTAGCTTAAGAGTGTGTTATATCGTGTTTTTGTATGTTGATATTGCATTTTATAACAGTAGGAAGAAAAGCCTACATCTATTATTGTATGCGTTAGAGGCTCTATAAATAAGTTTAAAAGATGAGGAAAAATCAATTGAGTTTATATCAGTTAGCCTATAATGATCGATGATATTGTTGTATATCAAATCAATCATTTCTAAGCAGTATGCTTTCTCAGATCTAGTTGATAAAAGCAATATCATAATTGGATCTTTTCTAATATTTTATTTTTGAAATTGAAAATTTATCTAAATTTATCTTATAATAAGCTAATGGCATGGCTGCATTCCTTAACAACCAGGACAGGTGTTGTAATATTGAATATTTAATCCATCAAGGAGTTACGTAAATTAAGTAAACAATGGAGAAAGAAGCTCCATTAAGGTGATAGCATGAAATTGCTTTATAGTCAGGCAAATTAATAGAATATTACTTACGTAAGATCTTGTAATCTATTGTATGTACCTATCTTTAATATTAAAATCGGTGATTCTACATTTGTGCATTACCTGATTTTGACTTTATTGTAGTTTAACGGCATGTGAGTTATTATTTGAGCAATACGCAGTAACATCAGGATAGGAAACATTCTGACTAATCCAAACTCAAAAAATAAATTTGTCAAGATTGCTGAGTGATAGTAAAATTATTTTTCCTACACCTGATGGCTTCTAATCTACTTGGACTTAGCCCGAAAGAATCCGATGCAGTCTCTGTTAAAGCTAGTTGTTTGTCGTTGTACATTTCAGGAATGACTTGTGCATTTTGTGCCAGAACTATTGAACGAGAATTGCAAAAACAAGAAGGTAAATTCGATGCTAGCATATCGTTATATTTTAATCTGTATAGTTGTACCATTTACTTTAATTTCAAGATTTTAAATAGTATATTTCTTGTATTAATTCTATCGCAATAAAATTATGAATGATCAGTTCAGGACTAGTTGTAACATGCTAACAAATTGAACATATTTAGGAAGTATTCTAAATTAGACATGATATAATCCTAATGCCGCATGTAAGTGTTACAAAACAGCTCTGCAGCGAGATAACGTGAAGTGCGATCAATAAGTTGATTCTCTAATCTACGTATTAGGGAGCAATATCTGCTCTATCAGAAAGATTTTTCCTATGCTAGTAGACTACGCAAAAATTTATAAGCCTCGTATTTTACGTAAAACATTAATCTTAAGAACTCCCTTTATCATACGATATACCGCATTTTTATACTCATTTACAATAGTTAGACATCCTAGTTAGTAATATTAATATTGAAACCTTCAAATGAATCAAAAAACAATTTTATCTACTTCTACTTAATGAAGACAGCAATATTTACGAACATAGACGTCTATTGACTAATACAAAATAGTCAGATTACAATATGTCCTATCACGGAACATTTCCATGATAATTGTAATCTACAACCTACCATAAGTAAGTTATAATTGCAGTGATTAGAATTGCAAGAATATTTAAATCAGAATCTCACTGAATAAGGGTAAATCAAAAAATTAACCTAACATATATATTTCTACTATAATCTCAATATTACGGTGCATAACTCTGTAACAGTAAGATTTCCCATTACCCTATCATTTAGGATATCTGGTTTTGAATATTTATTCGAAAAACTTTGTAGGGGGTTTTTTAATCAATCTAAAATATTGCTGTCAGACCGATAAGTGTTAAATTAAAGCAATTTTAAGTCATCTAATAGTGGAGCATCTGTATTAGGATTACAAGCTCCTATTTTCTTTTTATGTCTATCATATTCAGCCTTGCAAAACAAAATCCTATTTGTGGCATTCAAATTAGATCTTTTACTATTCTTACGCATAAGAGTATAATTTTATCGTCTACAATAGTACTGCAGAAAATATTCATATATCAATATGCAATCTGTTCAATAAATTTAAAATTATAAGACTTATATATAACATTTAAATTAGAGCAGCTCTACTACCAAAAAGCCAACAGCTGATTACTTTACGCTATCTATTAGTGAAAATCGATCCTAAGATCATAAAACTGCGATTACTCGCTTCTGATTAGTTTCTGACTAGTTTTGTCATATTAGCTTTGTTAAATAGAATCTTCATGACACTGTAGAATTGGTCAATTGGATATAATTTCATAGTTATATGTGAAATTTAAGGTATTCTTATCGCCTAGAATTGTATCGAAGTGAATATATGTTTATGCCGTTACACTTTTTATTCTATCTATCTCAAGTACAGTAGCCGTATAAATATAAAGTTATAGCAGTTGTATTATCTAACATGCGGTAATTGATTAATTTTAGGCTATTTAATGTTTTGAAAATTCAATTCTAATGCCCTAAATTAGGAACATTTATCCTCTAATTGGCCCTTTGAATCATTCGTCAGGCTGTCCTTTTAAAATAAACCTTTTAGATTGCATACACTCGTCAAAATTAGATATTAACCTAATCTCACTATTCTCTTCCTATCATCATTGTAAGCAATGGAGAATATTTATGTTAGCATATTCGCATATGACTTTACTTGTTATTAAACCATTTTAAACATTTTTCACTCGCAGATACGAATATGACGTAAGTTATAATCAGCATATAAGTTAACTTTAACGAATCCTTTTTTGGTATTAGTTTAACAAATTTTGCAGCGTATTAATTTGCTTTAAATCATAATATTTAGCTAACTTTCTACTTTAATTTATCAGTTCATTCGCATTTATTGTACACGACATAACTGTATAAATTTTTATTTTGAGTGATAAAAAATAAGGGCCAAATATCTATTCAAATGTTTGTAACATGTATTTTTATTTATAGAAGCTTTCGCATAAACGTATACAACCGTAAAATTAGACTAATTCTGTCAAAAAATGAAATAATGTAAACAGTCAAGAGTACATCTATATCTTTTCCTAATGTAATGCACACCCTTCATCCTCTCGGTAGTCGTATAAATTTATCCATAAGTAACATTAGAGCAGTACTATTATTAAATCATATAAAGTCAAACTATCAAAAGTACCTCCATACATTCTCGTACGGTTGCGCTGGTCTTTTTATCAATCAAAACTGTCGTATAAATATAGATGATCACTAAATTAGGGTAGTTTCATCAAGCGATGAAATGATGCCGAATAGTAAGAAAGCATTTGTATCCTGATACTTGTCTTTTCATCACTTAAGCTATCGCTTAAATATAGACAAGAGTTAATAAAGCAATAATATGATAGCGTTGATTGATCATGTTTGATATCGATACTGGAAGCTAAGGTATTGTGTGCATGCTTAAAAATTACAAAAATACAAAATTTCATCCTTTTTGCTGCTCTTCTAGTCCTTTTATTGTGAATTTATAACTATTATACAGGTATGAAGATAAATAAGAGTTAATTTTGAAAAATTTAAAGAACCCCCCCCCCGTCCGTAAACTGCTTGAAATTATCCTGTACTAGATTATTTATGCATACAGTATATCAAAGTGTTACCTAAATACCGATCGACAGGAAATAAACTAACCCATTAGTTTAACAAATTCATACTATTTTTGGTTCTCAAATTAGGAATTATTGCTGTATCAGTGGCTCTATTATCATCAACAGGAAATGTTATTTACGATACTAATCGATTGAAAGCTATTCAAGTGCAAAGTCGAATACAACAACTAGGTTTCACTGCCTCAATATTATCAGAAGATGATCAGAATAAAAGCCGCATCGAAGTTATGGTAAATAACCTAGCACGGGTACTGTAATAATCGTTTGATCAAGTTATAGACTTAATATCCCATTTTATGGCCTAGATTGAAAATTTAACATCCACCACTTGCATTGCTGATCTCAAATCCTCATTGCAAAGAATCCAAGGTGTTCAAACTGTAACAATCGTCTATCAAACTAAGCGCGCTATCATCAAATTTGATCCTAATCTAGCTAATATTCATCAGATCGTTAAGAAAATTCAGGTTGAATAGTTAGAGCTGACACTATAAAAAATTTATAGCTAATTCTTTACAAGTACAGAAAATAATTTATCCTATAAAACTTGTAAAATTTTGGGCAATAACCTCGCTAATAGAGATTTTCATTTTCAGAATCTTGGATATAAAACAAATCTAATCACGCATGATTCTATGCAAAATAACCTTCAGTGTGGGAAAGATATCCTAAGGTAATTTTATTGGAAGATCTTTATCTAACTATCTGTAATTTTAATCTAACTTTTAAATAAAAAATTAAATGTTAAAGTTAGAAGCTATTTTTATTTTAACTGTAGATGGAAGACTGTATTTATAACTTCTATAATATTTTCCATACCTGTTGTGGTTGTCCTGATCGCTTTCAATCAAAATAGACGAAAGCAAATTATTATTTTTCCTGGTGTATCATTAAAGAACCTACTTTTACTCGTGCTGTGTACTCCTATTCAGGTCTATTACCTCATTTATTTCTTGATTTTACAATATCAGCGAGCGATAAATGTTAAAAAAGCTGATTTATTTTTTGTAATAGAATAATACATATAAGTAGTTATGGCAAAGGTTTACAGAGTTAAAAGCTGAATTTAATTTAGTAGTAAGATAGGTGTTGCTTAAATTTCGAAGTCAAGAAATGACATCGATCGATAAGAACTTCCTATTCCCAATTCAGATAGCTTGCAACTTACGACTATTATAGCAGGGACAGTTCGGCAAGCATGGTAGTTATACAGAATCATTAAGCACATGTATTCAAAAGCTATTTTGTAATATTTATAATTAATTCTGGGAGCTATAAAAGATTAATAGGATTAGCTATAGATTGGACTAAGGGAGAATGAGCAATTGCATACAATCATGAAAGTACATATCTAGAAGCCTTTTCCTTATATCTACAATTCTGCCTTAGAGCTATAAATGATTAATAGGATTGAATATGGCCTTAAGGAAAGAACTAGGATTTGTGCAGAACTGTGTGAATATTATAAAATTCATCTCAAATAATCTGCTGTAGAGAAGAAAGTCCCAAGCCGTTCAGTCTATAAACTAGATAACTAGAAATATTGTTAATCTATTTGAATTTCTAATGTTATTGTAGGTTCTTGGTAGTCTTCAAATCTATCCAGCCTCTTACCATGCAATAAAGTATCGTACAGCAAATATGGATCTATTGGTGTTTATAACAATCACTATTGCCTATCTATACTCAGTAAGTTTCGCCATTCACTGACTATGCATTCTTAAAATTATAACTATTTATGAAACATTCAGTTAAATATTACCTTAACTTAAGAGATATTTTAGTCACTTACCTTAACATTATATAATTATAATTTGTCTTAAAATTGACTTCTACAAATCAATATCAATATGAAATTTAGCAGAAAACAGCTATTGATTTTCAGTAATGGAATTATTTTCAATCATATGCCTTGTTATATTAATGCTATCGTATTATTTACCTATAAATGAAATATATGTATTAACTTCTTGCGCTTCGCATAAGTAATTGACTGTAACTTTGAGATACGTAAAAAACATATAATTTTTATTGAAAGAAAACGGCTGTTAAAATATTAAACATTACTAAACTACTCTAACGGCTAGTTTTAAGCAGTAACATACTGTAGCTTTGAGAGATTGAAAATAAGATGGCTTCAAAACATTCGTCTACCGAAGTTTTTAGTCGGGGAATAATTTTTAATCATATACCTAATTATACCGATATTATCGAATCAATTACCTTTAAAGATATATTAACTGGATAAACCTTTAGAAGCTTGTGCTCCTCAAAAGTAGCTTACTATAATTTTAAGATAACTATAAAATGTACAATATTTTTTATTAAAACAAAATGTCTACTAAGATATTGAACATTAACAAAAAATTTCACCGGCTAGCTAGTAGTAGCATACTGTACGGCATTAGAACATCGAAATAAGATAGCTTTAAATATAATATTGATCTACTAAATTTTCAAATATTAGCTGGATACAGTATCATAACTATAAAACAAATTGCAACTTTCGGATATAATTATAATAGCTTGTACTGCAATCTTTGCAATCATGCTATTACAGAAACTATCTACAAAGATTGTAAACATTAATTAAATGATCCTTTCTATATCCATTATTAAATAGTATGACAATAAGCTATATTAATTAAGTATTTCGAGTACAATTATATGGGAATTTACGGGAATCACTACGAACTAAACTATTCAACTTTAATGAATAAGTTTTAAACAGTGGACATCTTGTTAAAAATATAAATTTAAAAAATAAATTACTGTGCAAAGTTACTTGAACAGCTATCATCGCTTTACTGAAGTTTCACAATGAATGAATCTCGCTAAATCCCATTTTAATAATTACCAATAGGTCATTGCAATGATTGTTTCGGCAATAGCTAATCCACAAACTAGCCCAGACACATTTCTTGAAAATCCTCCATTAATCATGACATTGGTTTCACTAGGGCGATGGATAGAAAGTCTTGCAAAGGTAAGCTATGAATACTTTTCTATGTTGTGTTTAAATTGCCTGTTTACGTGGATATTTTCGAGATAATTATCCTTTAGCTAAATCTTAATTTGTATTGTGTTCATATAAGAATAAAGCACTAGAATCTGCTAGACGATTTCTTCCATCGACAAGTACAGAAGCTTTACTGGTTGTTCTAGGAGCAAATGGACAAATTGAAAAGTAGAATCAATTTAAGCACATCTACCTCTAATTTCTAATATTATTCATTTGGATTTGAAGCTATAGCGTACAATAAATTTTTCACTTATTTAACTAGAGAAGAAATGATCCCTACGGATTTAATGCAACGTGGAGACACAATTAAGATTTTACCAGCTACTCGAGTACTAGTTGATGGAGTAGTCATCGCTGGATCATCAACGGTTGACGAATCAGTTATTCTAGGGGAGACAACACCTGTTCAGAAGCAAATTGGTGATAAAGTATTTAGTTTATCTATAAATCAACAGAATCCTCTTATCATTAGAGTGGAAGGAATGGGTATGAATACCTTAGCATCGCAAATTGCTCGCTTAATTTATAAAGGACAAAGTTTAAAGGTTATCCATTGCTAATGAACAGTATAAAGTAGATCATTCTTTTGAATCTTTTCAATTCTATTTGCTTATGCTATTATTTCATTCATGGCTACTAGGTTCCTATCCAGCTATTAACCCACAGTATGGCTAATTACTTTTTCTGCATCATTATTTCTTTATCTATGATCACACTGATATTATGGATCATCATCGGCTATAGTAACGTCCAACTTATAGATTTTCAATTTAATGTAAGTAATAGTTGTTTCATAGCTGGGTAAAATTTGGATTAAATTAGAATGTGCTGTATCCAATTATACATAAAGCATAAGCATCCTATACTGAGGCAGGAAAATTAGTTGCAGGTTATCTCAAAAATTGATCAATGTAATTTTCATATGTTTAAATTAGAATGCGATATATCAATCTATCTTATATCAGCATATCTGCTCATCACGAGCTAACTGCTGTGCTTTGTGTTGTTGCAGCCAAAATTCTACAACATCCACGAAGTAACATTGGAATTTGCATTTCGTACTGCTATTGCTGTTCTTGCTGTTGCCTATCCATGCTCTTTAGGCTTAGCAACACCAATAGCTTTGATAATCGGGATTGGCATTGCTTCAAGAAATGGTATTCTTATTAAAGGAGAAAAGCCACTGGCTCGTGCAAAAGGGGTTAGCTATAACAAGATTTGAAAAAATTAACTTGAAGAAAATTAGAATGGTTGTGATTTAACGAATTAATTGAGGTTTATGGTGCCTTAGAATTACTTAAACTATTCCATTATTACAATTTTTTTAAGTAAATAAAATAGAAACTAGCATCGACTAACGATGATGCTGATAATCTGCAAGTACATAGAATCGAACCAATTTTCTAAAAAGTTATCACTAATGCGAAGATGAAACTTTCTATCCAGCTCACAACTGTTTTCCTAAATAAAACTGGAACAATTACAACAGGAAAATGTAACGTAAAACTTGTGCACAGTTTTGTCGACGAAAGACAATGTTCCAAGTCGAAACTAATAGCCTTGGCAGGTGCTGCAGAAGCCTGTAGTGAACACTCCGTTGCAGTAGCTATTAGCAATTATGCCAAAGAGGTTAATCAGTGATGTAGCCTAATTTATAATTTTAATTTTGACTCTTTGGTAGTAAGTAAGCCTTTCTTCAATAATCTTTTTCTATTACTATAAAATTAATTCCAATTTGATGAAATCCATCCAAATTTTACAGCGTTATCGCTTTTTTACAGTTTTTTCAAGTAGACGTTCTAGGCGATGTTAGTGATTTTCAGGAAATGCAAGGCTTGGGGATACAATGCACCGTCACTGATATTGATAACTTGCTAGAAAATACAACTTATGAAGGTTTTTGCGCGGATTTATTAAGGATATAAATATATATTAATGAAAACTGCTTAAACATATGCTAGAAAATACAATATAGAAAAGTCTTAGTTTCAATATATTATGAGCAGAGACATGTGAAAAATGATCTTCTGCTTGTATTCATCAAATAATGTTCCTATTACTATTTAACACTAATAGCTATATCTACTGACTATAATAATACATTTTCTATTTCAGATATACCCATTAGCCCAAATTCCATCAATAAATCGTATAAGCTAATGCGTATCGACAGTGTAAGATCATATAGGGTTGTTATTGGTAATAGGCAGTGGATGCATCGAAATTGCATTTATATCGGTGATGATGTCAACGATTCTATGCTGAAAGAGGAGAGAAATGGAAGAAGTGCTCTATTGATAGCAGTTAATGGTGAATGATTATGTAGTAACAAGAATAAGTTACAGCCTTGAGCTTCCATACGTTCATAATTAATGCCTACTATTTCATTAGATTTAGCAATTGGAATGATATCTGTAGAAGAAAAGATCAGATACAATGCACAAAATGCCATCGATGCTATGCGAAGAATGGATCTCGATGTCATCATGTTTACCGGTGATAATCGTCATACTGCAACAGCAGTAGCAAGTCAAGTATGCACAATTAATCCATGAAATAGCTGTCACCAAAGCAGCTTTAGAATTATTGACTATAAAATGCAATAGATAATCATATTAGCATGCATTAATCTCGCAGAATTGTTTAAATTAAGAGTTGCTAAGTCGTAACTCTGTAATACATGTATGTGAAGCCAAAGCAATTACCGGTAGGCTTGCAAATACTATTGCTAATCAGATCGATATAATTAGGTTGGAATTAAACATTTATTCGCTGAAACGACTAAATCAAGCCAACTAGCCATCTTACAAGCAATGCAAAGGAAGGGTAAAGTTGTTGCTGCGCTCGGGAATGATTCATCAGATTCGTCTATTTTAGCTAATGCGGACATCGGCATTGCTATTGGCAGTAATGCACATCTTAGTATTGATTCAGCGAGTATTGAGATTATAAAGGTAACTGCAAAATTTGGAATGCTGTTAGTGTAAATTGATTTTTGGATACGGATGCTGCCGGTAATAAGATAATTCTAATCAAATTAAGAAATACTTCGCATCTATTATACAATATGAAAGCATATATACTATCACTTAATAAAATCATGCGATAATAGCTAATATTTTAGCCATCTAGTAGCAAAAGCTTCTAAATCATTAATGTTAATAGAACAGAGTAAATTATCCGTTCATATGCTATTTTTTAAATTCTTCTGTCAAGTTTGTAATTACTATAAATTGGTGTTTAGTTATGCTTCTTTCATGTAATGACTAATTGATCGATTTCACCTTGAATATTAGGATAACTTGGTTAATATCGTATTTGCAATTAAATTGGTTCGCTCAATCAATCGAAGAATTCATTTCAATCTCGCTATTGCCATCATGTTCAATGTTGTCGGAATCTGTCTAGCTGCTGGCATTCTACATCCTGTTGGGTTCACCCTCAGACCTTGGCAGGCGAATGCTTGTGCGGTATCAATTTCTGTCCTAATAATTTTATCTTCTCTTTCACTAAAATGGTACGAAATTTGTCCTTATTAAGTATTTCTACCTTTTACAGACTGTTATATTTGCATATTGATATCTCTATACTTGTTTATAAATTTAGGCATAAGTCACCAAAATTTAAGGCAAAATCACAAACATTACCCAAGCGATTCAAATTTAGGGAAGGTAATGAAGAAAATGGAGTCGAAATTTGGGCTGATAATAAATGTACGAAATCTTTAGAATCCTCCAAGGAATCATCTAAGTCTTTATTAGGTGGTACTTACAGCACAACAAATGACAGCTCCTTTATGTAAATGTGGAAAGATAGTAATAAACAATGATGAAATTCGTAAATTAGAATAAATGATTGATAACTACATACGATATAGGATGAAGCTATTACTGTAGCAAATAAAACCACTAGTTTGGATGCATGAGGCTTTCAAAACTGCTTCAATGGTGAACTATGGAATGTGTAAAGTATCTTTTATTCGGAGTAACTATTCTTTCCTATACGAGAATCTTGGAGTGGTCTATTGTAAGAAACATGAAATATTGAATCATGTTGATTGTGATAATGATGATATATTCATAACCATTTCAGTATCATTTAATGTAGCACCAATAAAGGCTAAAGCAAACTTTTAGAACCCTTCTATGACATCGTACTTTGATAGCTAGACATAGCCAATATCATCAATAACGATTAAATCATTAAACCGTAATCTTGATACAAAAAGAAGAATGCTAATTGCATCTGAAGGAGAAATTAAAGTTTCGTATCTATACTGACTATTATGTAGTAACCTATAATATTAACGTATATTATTGCTCGATTTCTAAAGTAGTTACGAGTACTGATATAACACTAGTCTAATAATTACAAATGTCAAGAATTTAACGCTCATATAATAGCTACTTATGGATTAGCCGATAATTATCTAGCTAAGATTATTAATAGCATACTCAAGTTTTTTTATTTGATCAAAAACTGTTTATACCACATTTTGACTTCAAAATACTTAATTAATTAGCTATATCACTTATTTTACAGCTTTTAGATCATATTTTTCCAGAGCATGGAAGTAGATTTGCATTAACAACTATAGAGCATTAGAATTAGACACCTTTTGTCACAGTTTATTTAAGTTAATTGCTGACTAGCTAGCTTGCGGACCCGATCGGTGAAAAATATCTCACTTAGCCACTAAAGTGCTTCTTATTAACAACTGGAATAGGTTATATCTTGAAAGTCACGGATTGTGTGAGTATGTAGTAATTTTCATGATCTATCCTATTTTTGCATCATTCAATTCTTAGTAGAAAGATAGTATGCCCGTATGAGCCATCCTATTGTAAAGACATCGTAACTTTTTGAAAATAATTGATCGAATTTGAATGGAAAATCTTATTTGCATATTTTAACTTCATTTAGTATATTAATAGCCTTTCAGTTATGCAGTGAGTAAGGATTTTTAAATGATTTACATTAATAATTTTGCATCACTTAGCGATATGATGCCATGATTAGCTAAATGTTGCATTCTATCGTAGTTGCGTATATAATTCCATCTTCAATTTCAACAATGACTATAACGTACAAAGCAGCATTTAAGAGCGCACGGTACATCCAAATGATCTATTCAATTGAATTAAAATTGGTAATGTCCGATAGTCTTACTCCATTTTATCAATATGCCTAGTCATAGATAATTACCTCCATTATTTTAGTATTTATTAATTGAAAATCTATTACTAATTAATTAAAAAATGATTTTATGGCATAAATCTGTTATCGATTTAACTTCTTTTACAAAAGCATTTTAAAATTGCTCAAAATAGGCAGAAAAAATTAATTTATCTCTATCCATAATGGTAAAAATACAAGCAAGTTGATAAATTTCTTCTGAAAATTGGGCAAAGATGCAATAAGAATAAAAATAAGCAAGGTGATTTTAATATGATGTCGCGCAGCTATGGGCGATATGATATCCATACAACTGAGTAAAGTATATTATAATCTTATGAATTATAAATAATCAATACAAGCAGCAGTAGTTTTTGAATTGCAAATAATCATTAGAGGCAGTAGATGCCTAACTCATAAAATTACAGCTGGCCACCGGTTTCACATGTTCAGGAACGAATGTGAATCACAGCAGGTGGACAAAAATCGAACGATAATCTTTATTAATACTACGTCAGATTACAAATGTTTATTTTTACTACAATACAAACGGCGCAATGATTAGCAAAATTTATAAAATACTTCCGATAAAAATAATTATAATTGTGTCCAACCCTACATTATTAGGTCGAGCGTATATATTGATATTTATCAAATTGAAATTAGTTACAGTAATTGCTATAATCAATCATCAATAATGTATCGTTATTATCTTCAGTCTAATACTCTTAGAAATAAGACTTCGTTCTACATAATTACTCCTTATTTACTCGCAAATAAAAGTGCCATACAAAGTTCAGTATTCTCAAGCATTATATAATATCGCAATTAATTAATTTATTAATGAACTAATCGACTATGTCCTTAAATTTTACGTTAAGGAAGGACGTATCTTGAAGTAATTTACGGAAAGGCTCGTAAATTATTTAAATTATTATTGTGATAGCCAGCAGTGCTGCACACATAATTATGGATAATTCTAATTTATAAAGATATAATTAGAGCGTTGATATTGCAAAAATTTTATTGTTATCTAACTGTTTCACATATCCTTGCTAATTTAATTAACTGTAATAAATACTTTCAATGCTGCATGAAATTATAAACTTAAAAAGTGATTTGAGTTACGTAACAATTTATGCCATCCATGCTAAAAAAACAGAATAGCTAGCATGATATTAAATCCAATGATTGCAATAATAAAAAATAATAAATATATCAATGACAACGATTGAATTTCAATTCTAGAAAGTGTTTACCATTAATGATAGTAGTCTGTTACAGTAGTTATTTCGTTATCAAAATACATTGTAGTAGCGTTCTATCTATGAATATAATTAAATAATAGATTGCATAATAAGGGATAACTTTTCATGTATTATCTGTTGACTACCTAAGTATCTCGTATTATGACCATAAGTAATCGTGTACCAATTTATAAAAGCAAGCTATATTATGTCCTAGTATCAATATGAAAAACGATACATTAGTTGGAAATGAAAAAGGGAAAACTTGGTCATATCGAAATCATGTAAAATATCAATACATTGATGAGTTATAAAACTATCCAGATGGATACTTTACCGAACTTGTGTTTTATTATAATCATTTCACACGGAAAGGATATTGATCTCTTTGAGAGAACTGTTATCTAGACATTGAATGAGTTAAACAATAGCCGTCCTAATTAACTTATCAATTAATAGATAACGATAGAAAATAACAATAGGAAAGGGCTAAATATCGGTCATCGATTACATCACCAGTTTATTACTATTGTTAGAATTAACAAAACGATTGTGCAAACAATAGACCTTATCTACCATGGTCAGTAATCAAAAATGATCCATTGGTGGTAGATTAGCTACTATCATCATTAATTAACCGTTACTATAAGATTTAGAACAAAATGGCGTATAAATGGCGTTAAAACTAAGCTATAAATTTGCTTGCAATTGTCGGCTAGATACTGAAGGGTATCATGATGCTAAGTTGGTACTTTTAAAATTACAGCCGGTATGCTTGGTTTTTTACAATCTAAATATTTTTGAGAGCATGATATTGTTTTTCAATTTCGTTAATCAATGTAATGTAGAACTTGATTAATCAATAGGCCTAAAATAATGGTAAACGATATGCAAAACAGATACGTTACATTGATTACTAATGCATAAGTACTAAAATTTTACGCTCAACCATCTGTTTATATTGAATGTAAACATTGCAAGACTATACAAGGTGCAATACGACAATAACGTATCTTTCGTAATATACAATATACAGTAAATTAATTAATCGATCAGTAAGGAATGAATCACCGATTGTCTATAAACTAAAGGGGGGAAATTAGCGGCTATTCTTTTAATTTTTATAATCTCTAAATTTCTCTATTAGTTTCTTCAGTATACTGTAGCGCATCTTACTGAATCTCATCGACTGAATTAAAATAATTTCATAGCAATGCCGATTAGCCTATCTTCAGCATTATATCATTCAGAACATAGCAGTAAGCGATACCTTTTACACATCAGGCACAGTGAATGTTATTATCATTAGCATTGCTCACCCGATTAAATATATCTAGTTTTGGAACAGATCACAAATTGTGTCTTTAGAGCGCAGTATGGCATAAAAAATAAGGCCGATTATGTTCTTAAGATTAGAAATGATCGAATTCGCTGTATTGGCCATGACCAATCTTAAGGACAAAATCGGTCTTAGAAATGGCCGTCACGTATACCTAATTTGATTTTAAAATATACTAAAAATATCAGGCTCTATTTCAACTAAAAATGTCAGATATAAAGACCATATAAAAAGTCTAGTTATAAATTCTCTAATCCTATACTGCATGTAGGTATATCATAGATATTAAAAATTAGTCTTACGACGTATTTCTCATCAATTAGTTTATAAACGGTATAGCTTTATGTAATTAAGTACGTGCAATATCTCTTATAAGAGTTTTAAAGGATTTGTAGTAAATTAGAGTAGTTTATATATTCCTCACCAATTAGATATTTATGACTCTTGGTCAATTTAATCATATAGAATTTTTTCAGAAGACAAGTACAACGGTAAGCCTGACGTATTAAGCTATCGCAGCCCTTCCATAAAAACTGGTTACTCTTTTAATTCTGCTATGACAAATTCCGATCAATTTAATCATGAAAAATAAATATAGAAAGGAAACCATTGATTCTCAAGTTAAATTAATTTTTCGATCTTCCTTCAGCCTTTACATTAGCGGCTTTTAAATCGGAAAAAGTAGGTGAATCAATTGAAAAATGATATAATTGCAGTCATTCCTCATTCTACCAATTGGCAGAGGAAAAATTTCCTCCAAACTAGTAGATTCCAATAC